ATACATACATACATACACAAATATAAATTTATATATAATTATATATATATATAATATTTTATATATATAAATATTGTTTTTTAATAATTTATTTATATGAATTATATGAAAATGCAAATTTGTTACAGCAATATGGATATTTTGTTGCGTTTTCCCAGTCAATTTTAAAGTGCGGCAAGCAAATAATCTGATTTGGAATTGGTCAATAAATCTCATATACGTGCACAACATCCAGTTCGTCACATGCAGCACAACAACCCAATTCATTGACATGTAGTCAGCATGGACACATCTGCAGAAAGACTAACACGGCATTGATTCAGCAGAAACTGACTCTATGCTACACATCAATGATTTATTTACGACCAGATTTAGGAAAATGTAGATACAAATAGGCCACACAATCATATATTCGTAACACTGCATACGTGTTTAACCGCATCAAATTCGTATGCATAGAAGAGTGTGTTAGTGAATCTGTACGTTGGACGTGTACCTTGTGAACATCTTACAACGTATCTACATGCCATGCAATCTCTATACGTATCTTGGTTGTCATAAATTTGTATTCCGTGTAATCGCAGCTTTGTATGAACACGAGCGTCTAATTATTATTTGCTTCATGCCCACTGACACGAAACATCATTTCAATGCGACATGCCTGCTTTTAGTAAACTGTTGCCTCCGCATCGCAATTGTCCATTGTTTACTCGATAATAATAAGTTTGACTAATTGTGGCTCAAATAAAAATATTTTCATAGTATAAATGGTTTTTATTCAAATATTTAAAAACTGAAATAACAAAATTTGTATATATGGATTTGTACAAAAATGCTTACAAACTTTTAAAAACCAAACATTAAGTTTCTGATAATATCTTTTATCCCAACCTCCCAACCATAATTGAGAACGTGAACTTAGCGTTCTTGTGTTTTCAAAAAAGTGTTTTCAATACATTATAAAAATTCAATGAAACTAAAATGCAATAAAATAAATCATCTAAAAAAGATCATCCTGTACTTTTTATATTCACTGAGTATTCAAGTCATCCATCGCATTCTTTGACAGATCGGAAACCAACATTTATTCGATGAATCATAGTTGAGTTGTTAATACAAATGTTCATTTGTTTGCGTGTATCCATTATTGCAAGAGTTGATTGAGAGTTTAATTATTTGTTTAAACATTCGTCAAGTGTTTGCTCATCAATCAAAAGTTTGTTCTTTTGTTTTTTCAATTTAACAGACTCGACTGTTTATCGTGCTTCACAGGCTCTGTTGTACCACATGTGCTGTGCAGTGCATCTAATAAATGAAATGTATGCAGGGCAGGCACCCAATAGTTCATTTAGTAATTGAAATATATCCTGTGAGTTGTTCACTATGTTCACTGTTTGAAATTTGGTTACAAAATAAATTACTTTCAAAGTTCAAACTGAAATTTTAAAAAAATTATATATTACGTTTATTTAAAAACTCATCGGGTGCGTAACTTTTCTAAAATTTAGAAATAAAAAATCTAAAAAGTACATCATTTAAACATATTTTCACAGAGTAAATAGAACCAACAAAAAGCTTAAGCGACAAACATGCGAAGAAAACATTTTATATCATTGCGTATCTACATTATTTTTTTACAAAACATTGTGCTTTGTATTGTATTATTAATATTTGTATTCCACATAGTTAACGAGCAATTTGGGGCGTTGTGTGCATCGCAACAATTTCATTTTTGGCATTGGGTTCACTGCATGTGATTTGTCACATTTATTCCAACCTACGTGTTCTGTTCATCATTGCTTTGTCAAGCACGCCTTTTGAAATGTAGAAATATGTTGTGTTCATTGTAAAACAGGAAAAGTTGGCAAATTATTTTGAAATGTTGTTTGGAAATCATTTTTAAACTGCTGCAATGGTGTTTTGACTAGTGCTCACATTTATTTTTGAGTGGAGAAGTTTCTTTGTAAACGGATGAAATAATTTTACGTTAAAACTTGAGAGCCAGTTTGGAACGTTATGTTGGAATCAATGCTAAAAATTATTTGAGGTTAATTGCTAAAAATTAAACATGCTGAAAAATTTTCATTAAATAATATTCACAGCAAAGAATAAACCTGCAACAACACGCAAAAAATTATTAATGTAAACAACATACCAAAAAAAAAGACTTTAAAAAGAACAACAAATGACTGACTCAATTGAAAATCATCTCTTCTGCACAGCAGATGATTCAGATAATGTTGAATAGATCTTCTCTAATGAGCAATTACCTTCGTATGGAAGTAATAACCATACATTAGTAACGTAAGATGGTAACTTAACGGCAGCGTTGTTTTGTTAATTATATGCACTCCACTTCTTCATATCTGGATAACTGGCTATGAACCTGTGTACTTCTGATGCTCATACCAACATGTGAACAAAAATATAAACATATGTTTAGACAAACATGTACACACACAGTCATATACTTAAACATACAACCTTACAGTTAAACATACAATCTTACACTTAAACATACAATCAAAACATAGAAACATAAACTTAAGCCTACATAGAGACACGCGGACACAATAAAACATAGACACAAACGCACATACGTAGAGTTGAACAAAACTATAAATCATGAAATAAAAATAATTAATATGAGAGAAAATTAGAAAAGTAGTTTGTTGATTGATGGATGGCGCGAGGATATGAAAGAATGAAATGAAATTCATGAGAGAATGAGAATAAATGGCAGAGGAAGAGATTAAAATAATAAATTAATGATGATGTTGCGAAGAAAAATGATGACGACAATTAATGATAACGAGTGTTATAAGTAGGAAAAAAATAAATGCAGTAATGAAAACATGATGGTGATGATATAAACGATGATGATGGACAGGAAAGTGAAGATTAAATGGAGTTAATGAGATGAAGATGAAAGAAGATTTTGATGGGAATAATGACAAAAATGATGATGGGTATTAAGATGATGATGATGATAAAAAATAATAGAGATGGTGATGATGATGAAAATGATGATGGGAATGAAGAATTCATTCTTGAAGAAAATTAATGAAGATGAAAAGAAAAGATGAAATGGAGACCTGCAGCACGAAAGAGTTCACGAGATAACGAGGTGGGTGGTGTTAGCATGACTGGGACGAAGCAACATGCAGCGGATAATAAAAACGTCCTATTCGTTTGTGTTTGTGGAGGCATGGTGCCGAGTGTTTGTGTGTTTGTGTGTGTGTGGTGTGTGTGTGTTTGTTTGTGTGTGTGTGTTTGTGTGTGTGTGTGTGTTTGTTTGTGTGTGTGTGTTTGTTTGTTTGTGTGTGTTTGTGTGTGTGGGTGTGTGTGATGCAGGTAACTGAACTCAAAACCTTTTTGTTGTTGTTTTTGATTCTTTTGTTGTTGTTGTTGTTGTTGCTATTTTCATCAATGTTCATTTGAAATATATCACAAAATGGAAATATTATTAGTGTTCATAGATTACCAGATTATAATTAACTGCCAAAACACAACATACATATGTACCCTTTACAATTTAAACAGTATATAAAATAGTTAATTTAAAAATTATAAATTGAATGGTTCCATAAAAAAATAAAACTACGAATTGAAATTAATTGGTTAATATGGCATAGATATAAGTAGAAGTTCAGAGAGCGAATGTAAATCAAACCCTAAAAAATAGCTGTAAATATTTTCATACATAGGTTATATGGATGGTTCAAAAGGTGAGAAAATTATGAAAAACTATCACCATCTCATATTTGTGTATGTGCTGAAATTAAAACTCTCTCACAAAAAAAGTAGTTATTATATTTCAAAAAAAGGCTTGAACGCAAAATTTTTATGTTGGAAAGTTAACAAAACTTTATCAGCAGCAAAAGATCGAGTAAGAACACAACAAATCTTGTAAGGGGTGAAGTAAACGTACCGAGGTGTATACCTATATAAACATCTCGTATATAAGCATGTGATGAATAATCAGATAGAGCAAGATCCAGGGAGCCTTGGAAAGAAATAACAAACAGGGTCAAACACCCCACCACCAAATTGGATTTCAAAGTAAAAGAAAAGCTGATTGAGCTATCGGATTTGTTTATTACTACGATACATGACACGGTTACAAGCGTTTGTATCATGGTTTGGCTAAATGTTGTGTACACGCCCTAGAAAAAAATTGTTCTCGCAATTTATCGGCTCATATTTTTAGAAAATTCAAATTTTTTAGAAATTAGACTTGTGCTCCTGCCTAATTTTATGTTAGTTTTTATATGGGATTGCTTGTGCGCACGGTTTTTTCAACAATTTTTTGCTTAACTGAGCGTGAATACTATTAAATTATCTTTATAATGCATGATGCTTTTTGCGTTTGTTTTGCTTAGAGCCTTGTGGGTTTTACCGCAACATATTCATGGTTTGTTTATATACAGCGCTACCAGTGTATGTATGACATTTGCATTTTTGAATGATGTTTTCATTTTTTACGAAAACTTTTATCTATGCGAAACTATTTAATATTTTGCTGGGCATCAAAAAACTTATTGTTTAAAATTCAGGAAGTTTGTTTACAGATTTTTGAATTGAAGTAAAAAAAAGCTCTCAACGAACGCCGCCACAAACCAAACCAACAAACACGGCTTAATATTGTATTGACTGAGCCCGTGAGATCCACAAAGACAAGATCAATGGCACGATTGCTCGCTTAATTATGTACTCCTATTTATTTAAATAAACGTTACCAGCAATGGCGATAATTCATGATGAGTGCCATTAAACGCGATGGTTCTAGCAAATGATGAAATATAGATGATTGTTAATTATTAATTTTATATTTTGTTTTAAATTCAACATTATTGTCATTTTTCAAAACTTCTTACTGTGTTTATGCCTTGCATGTTATACCAACCTCGGCATTATCTGCCAGATTTCGAATTTCAGAAATCTCAGATAATATCAAAAATTTCAGATTTCTTCACGAATTTTCACAGAATAAAAAAATAATGGTAGACAATTACGAAAACGACCTGACCAAGTGACCATCCTGACATGAATATGTTTGCCATTTGAAAAAAAAAAACACATTTACATTTTCTAAATAAAAAGTATTTTACCAAAACATTAGTAATACTGTATTTGTAGTTTTATTTTAATGAATCAGTTATTCCGTTAACCATACAGGTTTATTGCCATTATATTCCCATTGAAGGCGCACATGATTTGCAGTCGGAAACGCATCTTTCCCGTCATCTTCATCGTCTGGTTCTTCTCATTCCTCAGTTCCTCACCAATCATCATCTACAATGTTCTCACACCTCCCATGCCACCTTCCTTCGTTTCCAGGTGTCAAATAATTATCCCTGGACAGTACGGAATGGCACTGTATAAGCTTCTTGAAATGATAATATTCTTCTTTTTTCCAGTCTTCTTGCAAATTTTTCTTTATGGTATAGTAGCCAAAAAGTAAGTACAAATTTAAATTAAAAATTTTAATTTAATAGGTTCTCATTCTTTCATATTATTTATCCGAACATTGAAATCTTATTTAAATTTCAGTAAACAAACAACAATGAAAGTTATAATTAACGTTCTTAAAACAAATGAAACAAAATCAATAAAATCATTATTTCGAATTAAATGACGTAGATGTTATAAATAAATCCGCAGATTGTACACTAGCTCGATGGCGCTGCACAAAACACCTCGGATCATCATAAACCCAGACCAACGTAATCCGAGTTTTTCTCTATTGAACAAAGCAACCACATCCTTCACTATGGCAACTCTGCCAAACGCCAATTCAGCTGATAGCAAGCACCGGTTGTCGGCATTTGAACTCGCGAAGGCTCCATCAGTGGGATCCTTGAGCACTTCGAGCAACTGTAACTTTTCAACGACTTTTGGGAAAAAGAAAAAAATTCCCGAAACAATTAAATCGAGGAAAGAAGTCATAAAAATGCTGGTTGCCAGCGTTCTCATATATTTTTTCAGCTATCTACCTCAACAGGTTATTTTTCAATATTTTAAAAACTAAATAAATAAAGACTTGAAAAATTAATTTTCGTCACAAAATTAGAACCAAAATTTTTCGATTAATTATGTTAATAACTACAACATATTACTCCATCTAAAAAGGTTCTGTCACTTCACAAAATGGCAACTGGAAACGACTTAAAGGTTTCTTGGTCCTACTTCGTTTTTGCCATGACACTCTCATATGTCAATTCGGCTTCAAATCCAGTACTCTACGCTATTTTCAGTCAAAAGTTTAGATCCAAGTTCAAACTCCTTCTGACGTGTAGAAAAGGTGTCACTACGTCAAACAACTGTGTGACCAACATTCACAGCATTAACACAACCATAAGTAGAAGGAGTACATCAGCTGGCTTGCCGAACGTGGCTTCTAATACGATGGGATCTAATATGACATTGGATAAAAATTATTTTGCAAACGCTCATTACGGACAGTCGGTTTCGACGGCACAGTAGTCAATCAAAAATTTTATTGAATGAATATCATGTTGGGAATAACGATTGCAATTGTAATTCCATTTCATTATGTTAGTGTTTGTATATTCAACGATGTTTTGCTGAAAATTTGTTGATATGAACTAACAGCGGGTCAGTATATAAAATACAAATTTAAAAAAAAAACAAGGCCATCGATAACGGGTGAAGAATAAAAAGGCTGTCCAGTGAACAAATATCCATCGATCAAACTGAGCCATAGATAGAAGGTTACGTACGACCAGCTGCGACGCGGTTCCAGTACATGTAGCACATTCATTACGCTCGCTTGCCGCTCATATTTCCGTATTTTAAGAAAAAACAAATTTTTTATCAGCTTTCATTTCTTAAGCAAAATATTATCAGACTAAAACAGAAAAGTATGACATAAAAGCATTAATAAAAAATCGCAATTTGAGTTAAGTTTAGAAAATTTTACTCGGGAAACATGGAAAAAATTCTCAAGATTTCCTCAAAGAATCAGTTGCGTTAAATCGTTTCAACACACCAAATCATTTGCCAAGCGATATTAACATATATACAAATGAAAGTTTGATTCGTCCGCTTTTATTATTTCACCAGATCCGTGATTAATGTAGTGATATCTTCAACTATACCACCAAAATAACACGTGCAGAGGAACTGAAGAGGAAATAAAACTGGCTAAAAGCTTCATCGCAAAAAGAAATTATTTTTAAACTATTGTAGACTGAAAATGTATGACCGAGAATCCGTTTTTTAATTTTTTCAGGTGTTTCTGTACTGCAGAAAAACGAAATATAAAATCTAAATGATCACGCCATAGCGAATGACTACTGAAAATGTTTGCATTGTGTTATATGTTTTGAAGAACGCTTAGGTGTATGGAAAATTAACAAATAAACAATGCCGTCAACTTCAATTATCGATATCTTTCTATCTGAGGCTAAATGGTGCTAGGAGTCGGACCATGAAACCATTTTTAATTATTTTCGCTTTGTAGTCATTAAATCGGCACTTTGTTTGAAAAAGTTTCTAAAATCTTCAATTTTAACGAACGTAGCAATCATGAATAACAATTTGTAGTATAAACAATGAATCCAAACGTAGAAAAACTTTTAAATAAAACACGTAAATTTAAATAGAAACTGCTTACTCAAAAACCTCAAAACACAAAATGAGATTTAAATTCTATTATAAAAGCAGTTGAGTATATATATATATATATATATATATATATATATATATTCAACACAGAATAAATGTACGTAACTGTGGAAACCATGGATCCATGGTGGAAACGTCAAAATGTGGTGTGTGGAAAGTATGCAAGGAACGAAAAAATAATGACTTCGTGTACTGCTGATTATTATCCATAAGCATCCCAATGCACTGGACAAATAAATCTATAAAGATTAATAAACGAACGCAATAACAATATATAAAAAAAAACAATATAAATAAATATAAATATTCATGCATACATAAATAAACATAAGTATAAAGAAATGTGTGTGTGTGCATATTAGATGATAATTTGTTAATTACACAAGACAGTATATAATAAGCACAGGACATGATCAGAGGTAAAAAAATAATATCAAATTAAACATTAGGTCGGGTAATTAATAGCTGGCAAAACGTGTTGACTATGGCTATAACGAAATTTCTATTAGTTTCAATTTTAAGACTTAAATTTCGATGAATAACAATGATGGAATGAAGAGTGAATCGATAAATCAAACGACTTAATTTTTCATCATAGTAAATCGTTCTAATAATAATTACTACCAAACTAATTACAAAACTACATTCTAAAATATCATAATACTATGATCTATTATGATCACGATGAACTTAATAACGGCGACTAGATAAATGAGAAGCAAGAGGACGAGAAAAGAAGAGAAAAAGAGATGATGAGAAAAAGAGAGCAAAGGAGAAAATAATAACAATACAAACTAGTATTTTAAGAAAAACAAGCTGCAAAGTGTGATAACTATTTCTCAATACACAGATCTCTTATATGTAGGCAAATGAACAAACTATTATATAATACAATATGACTAAATAAAAAGATAAGAACAATGACTGATGACATTAAGTAATGCAGCATATAAAGGATTTTATCAATTTTTACAAGACATTTTTAAAAATTATGAAAATAGTTTTAGATTTGACAATTATTTTTAAACAATAAGTAGAAACAAAAAAAATTGTCTTATTCAATATAGGAAAAAATTTCTATTGGAAACAAACCTGAACCGACCAATCAGTAATAACGAAAGAACAAAAAATTATTGCACAAAATATTATTTGACCAATTAGCGACTTATTCAAAACGATTATGACAACTGGAATTTTAAGTTTGATCCTAAAATGGTAAGATAACCACCAACAATCACCTAATCAATCAACAATGGAATAAAACAAAATTACAAAAAGATAGAAAAAACGTGGAATCAAAGGTAAATGGAATTGATGTGATGAAATTATTCTGAAATAAATCAGTTCCATTCGAAGAAAGATTTAGAAAAAAAATTTTAAATTGCCTTACATTCTATTCGCAATATATGGAATCATATCGATTGAAACGTACACCAATTCAAATTGATCACCTATTTTAAGAATATTAAAAAGAGGTTCATAATTTAAGTAGAAAATTAATTAATTATACACCAATTCAAATTGATTACCTATTTTAAGAATATTAAAAAGAGGTTCATAATTTAAGTAGAAAATTAATTAATTATACTGGAATATCCATGCAATATGATAACTATTAACAATTTGATTAATTACTTAGCCTCAGATCATGATTAGAATGTTGCAATTTGTTATAAACAAATATAATGTTCAATAACATGCTCTTTTGAAGAATAACACAAGATTAACATAAATCACGCACAGATTAAATAACACTAGTAACAATAACAACAAAAACAACAAAACAAACATCAATAATAATAATAACAACAACAACAATAATAATAACAACAATAATAATTTCTATAATAAATTATTAATTAGATTTATATACTAATAATACAATTCAGTTGGAGAATACTGCTCCTTAGACTTCACTCTATCCATTATTTATTCCTGCAAATATTTAAATAAATGAATAAATTTTTTTTAATTATAAGTGAAAAGAGCAATCATTACAGCAACGCAGGACAGAAAATTACATAAGTAGAAAAAAATTTTGAACAAACATAGAAATGAGCATATACTGCTAATTATATAATTGCTGAATAATCTATCTACTTAACATGTGAACTTTAGATAACATAACATAACACAACATAACATAACATAACAGGGTTTAAAGTGGTTCAGAAGATTAGAGCCTGTGTGAGAACCACTGCGAGATAAGTGTTGTTAATATCCTAATTTTCCTAGCTTGATCTTGAAACTGTTGATTGATTCAGCGGTGACCGTCTCATCGCCCAGATCATTCCAGGTGCTTACCGCTCTACTGCTGAAGAATCTTCCAATTTTTTGAGAGCTTATATCTGTGGCCTTGTAATCCTATTCTATTCTTCAGTTAAACAAATCTGGTAAACAGTGTTTCTTCTTTCTTGGCAATCAATTTTTATGCCTGCCTCTGCATCTTCTTGTTTCCAGTGTTGTCAATCCACATTCCTTCAATCTATCTTTGTATTCAAGATTTTAAGCCTTCCTTGATAATCTTTGTTGCTCTCTGCAGCACTTTCTCCAAAATGTCTTTGTCCTTTTGCAGATCTGGGCTACAAACTTGAGCCCAGAAATCAAGATGGGGTCAAACTAAGGTTTTGTACAGATTTAGAATGATTGACTTCTCCCTGCAGACCACAATTCTTTTAATAAATCCAAGTATTTGATATAACAGTTTATATAATAAACAAAAATTTTGATAAATTGCAAAAAAATTAAATTATCTTGGTTAAGTGATTAAAATATATTTAAAATTCACAGATCCATTTAAAATTGAATTTGTACAAAGAAAAAAAATTAATTTCCTAATATTTTTAATCAAATAATTTACGAAACCAATCTAAATTTCAGCAGATAAAAATTTAATTAGCAAAACATTATCCTAAGCATTCCTGGAGTTCACACTGATCATTTTATATAAATATTATATTGGTTTATGATAGAAAAAAATTCGAAAAATGAACCAACATGCTTGTAACTATCTTCAACAACAGCAGCAGTAGAAGGAGAAATGAAATAATGGATAACTAGCTGATCAAATGTTTTGTATCTCCTGGAAAGCAGCATCAAACTCTTCCCTCAACTTCTTGTTTTCTTCTCGTGACAACAGCAACTCCTCTGTTCAAAAAAAGTTCAATCTGGTGTTAGTAAACTTCAACCAGATGATTTTTTACATGCAAATCTGCACATTATCACAATTTTTAATTCACTTCGCATAAAATGTTCAGTGTTCAGAAAATGCATGTCCTCGATATTAACAAATAAAAAGCGAAAAAATTACTTAATTCTAATTTGATCATTAGTTAAATAAAAGTCCAACATGAAATATAGTGAAAACTTCGTACTAGAAACATACCCGACTACCAAAACTATAAAACTACCAAAAGAGTTGAGTCATATTAAAAAATAAATCTTAAATGTTAAACATTAAGACTGATATTTATAGAATCAAAGACAAAAGAAAAGTCATTTATGAAAAAATTGAAATCAAACAAGATAAATGATGAGAACAGAGCAACAATAATATCTACCTTCCAATCTATCAACTTCTCTCTGCAGTTTTCCAGCATTTCTTTCCATTTCAGCTGACTTTCCTTCAGCCTAAGAATTAAAATATTAATATAAATTGTAAAAAAAAACTCTTCATAAACGAGAAACAAATTATTTAGAATGGGTCAGATGATTAAGATATCCTTGACTCACATTTGTTTGGAAACAAAATTTTGTTGGCCAACATTAAACAAAAATAACAATTAAAAAATGAAGATATGGGATAATGGTGATTAAATATAAGAGGCAGTATGGGCTGGTGTAATGGTTAAAATGCCTGGCATTGCTGTTGCAATGAGTCGATTCGAACCCTATAAATGTAGTGAGATGCATTGTTTTAAATATCTTCTTAAGCACTGTTGTATTTACTGTTGATACAATTTTGAAAAATAGAAAAGAGAGAATTATAAAAGAAACATGTCACAGAAAAAACAAAATATAATAAAAAAAATAATAAAAATAAAAGATGACAAAAAGAGGAATCAACCTCCTTGAGACGGGAGGTCAGCTCTTTGATTGTTCCTTCATACGTGTCCTCTTTCTTTGAGGCCTTCATTAAGGAACAAATATTTCATTCAACATGAATTATTATTAAAATTAAAAATGATGTTAAGACTGGATTTCACCTAAATTTAAAATATTACTTAAAATTTAACTAAAATTAACATAATCTGAATATGATCTGTTAAAATAAACTTGTATTGCTAAATAAGCGTAGAACCTAACAGAAAATTTGACAAAAAAAATGTAAGTACATGAGTTTGTGTATGAGCATTGGCTTAAGGACATGTGTGTGTGTGTGTGTGTGAGTGTGTTGTATATGCGTGTGTGTGTGTGTGCGTGAAATGTGTTAGGAATCTCACCTAAAAACGAAAAAAAACCTGTGAAAATTTTTCCATGCTACTAATCAATATGTTTATCTCGAATATGTAAAACAATTTTTTGTGCTGATTTAATGTAACCAGAAAAAATTTAATTTGAAAAAATATCATTAAATGAAAGTATTATTCATTATATCAGTGCAAATCATGAAATTTTATTCGCTTCAAGTAGAAAATCATGATGATCATATGAAACTGAATTAAACTTATCCATTAAAATCCCACATATTCCAAAACATCAGTAACAAATAAAACACAATAATAATGCTAGATGTAAAAATTAAATATATCCAAAAAAAATCACTATAATGACATCATTTTAGAAAAACAAAACATTGAATTACTCTGACACAAGTATTATTTAATAGTAGGTACTGTTTGCAATAGGTAGAAAGAAACAAACCAACCTTGGATTCACTAATTTCCAGAGATTTGAGAGTGGTTGAAATGAGATGCACCTCTGTATCCAATGTCTTTACACGCCTGTGACAATGGAAGTCATATGAGTATTGCCAGAAAAATATATCAGGTTTGTGAATCATTTGAATAATGAAGTGTTTAAATGAATGAATGAAACTAATGAAACAAATGAATTAATGGATGAATGAATTAATTAATTAAACAAAGGATGAATGGAACATACGTCTCGGCAGCAATCGCTCTTTCTTCAGCTCTGTCCAGTTCAGTTTCACAAATTGTCAACTTCCTTGACACCTAATTTACAAGTTAATTTTTTATTAAATTTTAGGTTTATCAAGATTTTGTCAACTCCATAACAATATAATGCATGCGTTATTAATTACAGCTGTTAATATTGCTAAAGATAAATACAATAATATTATTACAGTATCACGTTTAATTTACATATTTAAACAATTGGTTAGTTTTCGCATGCTAATCTTTTAATGAAATAATAATTTATGATTCATACATGCAGCCTACTACTTCATTAGAATATAAAATTTTATTGTGGGCAAGATTGTTCATGTAATGATTCTATATGAACGAACAGGTACATACACCAATGAATAAACATAAACATTTCAGTGTACTTAATTTTCAACTTAATGTAAACTCTGTCTCAATATAAAATTCAAATAATAATGATGAAAAAATTCAATTATACTATTAATCACAAGAGTTTATGTTAATCTCATCACACATAACATCAACAATGTATTCATGTGATGCCATGTTTGGACAATTTTACATCTGTTTTCAATCAATCAATCAATCTTCGTTTTGCGTCCAGAGACCCGGTTTCCTGAGGTAGGACATTCCCGAGGTAGGATGTTTACATCCGTTTTCAGCTCAGTAAAATTCTCACATGTGATTGTTTATCATGGCCAACCCAACCAACATTCAACTATTAACATCTTTAAACCGTTTAGGTATAGGAAGAGCAATCCTAAACACTCATTAATTTTATTCCAATGCTATTATTGTCTAGCTGAATATAAGTCAAGTTTAACATGGAAAAAAACGAATGAGACATACATCTTCATATTTCTTCTCAGCATCCTCACAAGAAGCTTTCGACTCCTTCAACCACTGCTCCAACTTGAGCATCTTCTCATCATCCATGTTCTGTCGAGATTCTAAGGCCTTTCGAGCTCTTCAAACAAATTTGAATCAATGGTTAGAAATGGAATCTACTCAAAATATAAAATAACTGCGTATATATCACAGAATTTACATAAATAAAACGTTTTATGATAAAAATAAATAGGTATATAAAACCAATTAGTATTGAAAAATATTTATTATTTATTATACTTGAAACTGTATATAATAAAGAATCTAAAAAATCCTCCAGAATAAATACAAATAGCAAGGAGAAAACCAAATTTTAACACTACCCACCTTTCATTTTCATCAGAGGTTTTGCTGAGTTCTAATATTTTTTCATTGGTGGATTGTAGTTGAGTCTGGATGTGTTCATAATCCTCTTCTATTAATCTGAGCTTCTTGGTTAATGTGCTCAAGTCCTCTTCAGCCTGTATTTTCATCAAAATGAAAGTTCACATCTATATTTTGTACAGGTTTTGCTAGATTTTAGTTAATATAATCTTCAAAGCAAGAAAAAAATTCATAATTTATATCATTTTAATTAAATTATATTATCAGTTTAATTAAACCCTAAGTATAGACTTGGTAATACATTGGTAGTGGTTATTTGTATAAGTATTAGTTAAAAGATTAGAAAAGGGTTTGCCAAATAGAAATAAAAATTCAAGTCATCATCTTATCCCCTAATAATCAAGACTTGGAGGTTTAGACTAAAAACATAAGTAAAACTTAATGCCTTTAAACGTTTTAAAGTTTAAGCTTTTTGCTAAAGGCCTAATTATTAATTTATTATTTATTAATGAATAAAACATAATATATTAAAATTAAATAAATATGAAAATGTTATAATATTCTTATTATAACTTTATTTATTACATTAAATTAAAAATCTTATAATAATAATAACAAATTTAATATTAATATTAACTACTAATATTTTAAATTTAATTTAAGTTAATAAAAAAAAAATAATTTAATAAGTTTTTAGCTGCTAATTGAATAAAAGATTAAAATTAAACTTTATTATGTTATGCTACCGCTACCCAAGTCTAAAGAGTTCATTTTTTTGAGAATAATATTATTCAATCTTTAAAAGTTTAAACTATAAAGTTTGAATTATAGTTTTTTTATATTTTATAAATATAAATTATATTTTATAATGTATGCATATATTCATATTTTGAGACAAGTCAGTCAGACACACAAACTGCAAGCACATTTAAAAAAAAGTTAGTTCACTAAAAATAAAATAATTAGAAACACTTTTGTAATTTGCATATAAAAGATTTATTTATTATACCAAAATTGTCTACTGATTTTAAATTTAAAATAAAAGAACCTTGGCTCTCAATCCCTTCTCCAAATCCAATTCATTGCACTTGGCATCATAGAGATCCTTCGTTTTGTCCATTTCATCTCTGAGACTCTGCATTTTCATCTTCAAAGATGTCAACGCCCCTCCAGATGATGCAGTCGGTGTGGCCATTCTGTAAAATTCAAAATATTTTCCACGAAAATTTGCCGAGAAATTCCTGGTAAGGCGCAACAATTGTCCGATCAGCCGCCGTCAATTTTCCGGATTGCAGAAGGATGTTATGACTAATTTCATATGTCAATCATTTACGTAAACTCCGCCTTCTCAGTGATACATTCAACTAAACGTCGCACTTTTCTGTAATACATTTTATTTTTGAACACAAAATCAGTTATTTAATCAAACGAAAATCAATATTCAAAAGATGAAAACATTGAAACGTTTCTGTAAAAAGTTAGGTTAAAGGAGAGCTCCGTTAGGTTGACTCAAATATTTGATGAAGTGGAATTTGCGGTGATTTGATTCATTCTGGCTAGCTGCTTCGTGGCATCTCCATCCAATGTCACTGCTTTCGGTATCATAATTACTGTAATCATCTCTAGGAACATAACCTGCGCGTTTCATATCTCTGTCCATTTTTTCCAAAGCAGATGCGATGACACCAGTTCTATACCTAACATTGCGCACGGATTCGTGAATATCGCATTTCAATTTCTCCTCATGTTCCTTTCTAACCTCATCGTCTTCCATCTTTTGGTAGAGACAGTCATCGTTTGGCAGTGGCAGGGAACCTCGCATTTGCTTCAAACTTTCCAGCAAGTTCCTCTTGTAGAGATCCTGATATGGCAATCGCTTTCGTTGTTCGACCACTGCGTTCGCCTTCAGAAGATTTTCATGCTGAATAAAAATTATTAGATGTTATAAATGTTTTCAAAAAATTAAATTTTTTTCTTCTGTTTCCTTGCATATGATTAGAAAAAATTTTCCATTAAAGTGGTGGGTTTAGAAGAAATTTCCTACGTTATTATTTGAGTCTTAAAATTTATATTTGTCTGAAATAAAACACAAATTGCTGTAAAATACAACTTTTAACACGAGATCCTGAGACTCTTCATATAAATTTGCATCAACGATTCGTCTGGTTCTATCTAGTTGGTTGCATGGAAATTCTCGTTTGCAATCCAACCAATATTTCTTGTACCATATCAGTCTTTTCTTCTCTTCTCTTTCTATAGCCGTAAATATCTTGAAGTTTATTTCGTAGGGATTCAAGTTAAACCCTTTTCCTAACATGTCGTCTGTTTTGTACTCTTCGTTCTTTAAGTTGCAATTGATTATGAAGTAAATATAAATACGAAAATAACAGAAAAAGTCAAAATTAACGGTGAATATTTTAAATAAACTGCATAGACGTCACAAACATATCAGCGTCTATGGAAAGAACGCTTTAAAGTGAAATGTCCGTAAAGTAAATACATGTAATGGGTGATTTACAAACCAGGATATATAATTTATATTTTAATTTCATAAAGCTTCATTGACCGTGTTCAGATGTTGACTGCGGCTAAACACACCACCGCTTACCATAAAATGATTGTGGAAATTGCAATTCCATTTGCAAACTGGTTCTAATTATTCAGCAACAATACATTCAAAGTTCTGTTTTAATAAGCCGTTACAAATCAAAAGCAAATGTGTTCTGATGAAATATTAAATCTATATAACCTATAATCAGTTATAGAAAGATAATAGAAAGATGAAAAGCAGAAAAAATTGTTTTCCAGTAAGGTGTTACGAGAGATATGTGAAAGGCTAAAAATAAATTACAAAATAAACACGGATTAAACAAAGAAAAACAAAGCTGAGAAAAACAAATTCCTTCTGTTTACCGCATTTAAGGTTGACAGCCCAAAATAGAAGTGCTATTTACAACGCAACGCCCACAACCAGCCAACAAAAAAAAACAACAACAACAACAACATGCAAAACACCCACAATATGCCCTGTGCATGTATGTACGCTCGTCGAATGTACGCAATTTTGTGCACTCTGGTTGGTCTGTTGTGCACTCAGGACAATATGTACGATACGATCCGTACATGCATGCACTCGGGTACGTGACTCCATTGGGATCGGACACATTAGTGAAATATAAATATGCGTATATATATATATATATATATATATATATATATATATATATATATGAAGTTGATTTTAAAACAATATTTTTCAAAAATAATTAGCCATCAAACAATTTTTTAAAATGCCATTAAATCGGAATTATAAAATTTTATCAAGCAAAGATTGTTAATTTTAGTGCAACGATTAATTCGTTTAAAAGTCAGTAATGGTTTCTGCAATGTCGTATATTTAATATTATTCATAAAAACGATAAAGCAAGTGTTCAGTAGGTTCATGCACCTTGTACGCCAATGCAGTTCAAATCAAAACAACTGAGCAGTTTGGATTGTGTGTAAACATTTTAAAAAATTGCATTTTCCTGTACGGGTTTTTTGCCTCAACTTAAACGAGTTGTAAAATCGAAAGGGTTAACAGTGCAAAAATCGATTGAAGATGACCAAAACTGTGAAGACTGTGTTGCTGAAAGTTTTTAAGTAGCAACATATTTTGCTATTTTGAATTCATTTGTTGTTAAAATTTATGAATAATTAAATAATTAAAATGTGTTCCTATCTTTCCGTCGTCATACAATTGTGCGTTATACAAAAAAATACTTCAAAGTGTTTTTGTTGTATAACTCCAAATGCTATATAAAAGAACGTACATAAGTTTGCGTTTATCTCTCACACATCTCCCTCTCTCCTCCTTCTCTCTCCATTATTTCTCCACTTCTTTCCACTTCTGCGCATACAACATGCGTACACTTGTCTTCGTGAGGCTTCAAATGCACGCGAAAAAATCGTTAGCCACCACGATACGTACTGCATTGTTTGGGGTTTCTATCTTCCGGGAAATTTATTTGTCAGTTATCATTACGTGATGCTGAGTAAAAACACTTCTTGATCTCCAAATGTTGCATTTCATTTAAGCTTAAATTTTATCTATATTTTTTCAATGACAAAAACAAATTCACAAACCACCAAATTACTATTTATAAATTTTATAAGCTTTAAACTAGAAACGACAATTAGTTTCGTGGTTCAATAGTTTATATCGCTCTAATGAAAACTGACTTTAGTTAGTTAGTAGAACTGCTTCGTCAGTCATTGAAATGTTGAATTGATGGCACTCTATTTGATGTTACAAGACTCACATTGTCATCGTCATCATCATTATTCTCATTCTCGTCACATTATTTTCATCACCATCATTATTCACCTTGCTGCTCTTTCTAAATCATTCAAAGCTCTTTAAAGATGGACGTTGTCGGCAAATTTGATGAGTTCTACCCAGAGTCAGGTTAAATCAATCGTTATTATATTTTATAAACTTTCAGTTTTTCAATGATTTATTCTATTTTCTCATTTATTTGATTACAAATACGAATAATTTTATAATAAATTAGATGTAATTGCAGGTGGTTATTACTTATTTTTTGAGCATAAATTCCATAAATATTTGAAATCCGCATGGTGTAATAAGCTCAAAAGTTCTAGAAAAAGCTTTTGTTATTATTTTGACAAAAAAAAATTTAAGATCACTTAATTAATTTATTATAAAGTGACATCTTACAATACTTCTATTAAGAACGTTCTGCCAACTAATTCAGTTATACATATTTCAAAATACTGAAAGCTGCTCATCCTTTCTTATCAGCACATTTCTAAGAGATTCTAGAGCGATACAATTTTTCAAATATAAAAAAAAGACAGAAATTTGTTCGAGTACAAGCTTGAATATAAAACTTTTTAACTTTTAAAATTTTAAATATTTCACGAAATATTTTGCCTAGGTGCGTAAATAACAATTTTTATTTTCTCAGAACTTTCATCGCTCATGTTTTTTTCCCAAGACTTAATTATTCTCGGAACTTTCAGGCACGCTTTTATCTTAAAATTTATATCCGCAAAATTTTCCATAACTTTAAAAGCAAATTCTTCCCATAAACACTTATACAACAACATTTCAAACAACAACAATGTAACAGAAATACATAGTTATTGTTTTGATCTAAACACACATTACCACACAACAAAACGCATCAGCCAACAGATTAGCGTTACACACAATAGCGGCTTCTGACGTGGTATGTTAGTTTTTGTATCAATGCAATGTTCTAAATTTCTGTTTTTTTCTTTTTTGGCTATTTTAAAATCTTAAATGTAAGAAGAGACAACTTGCAAAATAATATAAAATTGGAACGTAAAGATTAATTTCGTGCTATTTTTATATAGCTTATTAAAAACGCTCAGCCCTAATGCCAATAGTTCCCTATAACTTTCATTGTTATTTATATTTAAACAGTTACAGAATTAAACTTACCCAAATTATATTTTTTTTAATAATAATTGTTACAATCAGCATTTCATCATCAACATCACATTTATAAAGGTAGCACAATTCATTCCTCTATCGTTCGTTGCGTCTGGATCGATACGTAAACACTCACAGCTTTCATACTCCAAACTCCAGTTTACACATTATACGGGCTAGATGTCGCATGTAACAGGCCATTGTTGTATAAGTGTATGTTTTTATTTATGCATATGTAATATAAATATAATATTTTACATTGTTGTTGTTTAAAATTTTAAATATTATTTTATTTTAAAGCATGGTTAAAATATTTCACATTGTAATAACCACTGTTGCTACATTAGTTATTAGACGTATTTATTGGTTCAGTTTTTTACTTACTATTATAGTTAATGTACACACCAATTATTTATTAATGTTAAAGTTCCTAACCTTTTTAATACATATTGCTCATTAATTTTAGATAATCAAAACCAATTTAAGTTAAAATTTTTCCAAACTCCCTATACAAACATTTTCTATTTTGATAAAACTAACGAAATAAGAGTTATGTTCTAATGGCATTGTTTTAATTAGGCAAAGTTGCCACAACGATGAAAGTATGGGATAATGTCACGCCATGTAGTCATTTCATTTGACGCCTATTTTTATTAGTCTTCATTGCTTTTTGTGGTGGTATTATTTGGCTTTCTAGCTGTATAAATTTGATTCTGTTTTGAGAAAGTGCGCGATTATAAAATTACGGAGTGAACTTTTTCAAAAAATTTCATCCAAAAAGAAAGAGCATGAAAGCTCAGGGGCGTCAATTGTCAAATTTGCAACGTTCATAAAATATAATAAGGGAAAATGTAAGAGCCAAAAATTATCAGAAAAACCTTCAACAATTATAAAAAAAATTAATTTATATTATACGAGAAATTTTCAACCAGACGATGTAATAAGGGAAATAATTAGAACTTAATAAAACTGACGCCAGTCCGTGACTTTTACTTTTATGAAAATTAATTTATAGGTGATTTAATCAGACGAAATTTGTTTTAAAGAAATTATATAGAAATATTTCGTTAGAAATTTATTTAAAAGTTTGTCTACATTGTCCGTTCGGCTGTAACATTTTATTTGTGAGGACATCATTAATGACTTATTTATATCAATACACAAGCCTGTCACATCAATTGGCTTGGTCGTTAGTTTGACCAACTAGATGTATATCTGTCCCTAAATCAAACTTAAAGTCTTTTCATTAAATTCACCCAAACAAAGCTAGAGTAAAATATTTAATATCAATTTTCATAAAATTAAAAATCACGGACTGGCGTCAGTTTTATTAAGTTCCAATTATTTCGTTTATTACATCGTCTGGTCGAAAATTGATATTTAAATATTTAACTATATTGAGATCTTTTGAGTATTTCTCAGGAGTATAAGCGAAAAAGACGCATTGCATGTAATAAGATGCCAATAAGCGTAAAAATAACGCAAGTTGCGCGTGATACGAAAAGATTTTTTCACATTTTTTCTCGGTTGGTTCACATATTGTTTTTAATGTTTATCAACGGCTGCACTAATTTCATCTTATTTAGTTGTAACTAATTTGTATGGATCTCATTTGAGGGATGTGCATGACAGCAGATGCAATAATAATTTGCATCAAAAAGATTGCGTCTGATCACGTACTGTTATTTATGTCCATGCTTTGTCAATGTTAAATTGATACACATTTGGGAGCGCGTGCATGACAGGAAATGTATCATATCAGAGGTTGGCCTTCGACAAATGACAACATTAACTTTTTCCATTGTGTCATACACTACATTACATCAAAGAATTACATCACATCATGATATAGCACTATATTACAGTATTATACTGTATTATATCACGGTAGCCGCATCTCAAAATAACATTGCAGATATCAAATTGTCCCATCCCATTAGACAATTAGATCTCACTACATATCGTGCACCACATCACATCCCATTATTTCTCCAGATTACGCCAACTACTACATCACATTCCATCACGACTGACGTAACCACCATTTTGAGAAGTTTCATCCGCCCCACTTTCCTATCGCGTCGTTGCACATTTCTGCACATTAATGTGGCTCACACCAGCTTATCGATTGACGAAGAACTATTTCTGCAGTTCCTGATTACTTGCTCCTGCTCATGCTTATGTGTCATGGCGCCTATGTGCCTTGACGCCTGTATGATTATGTGTGCGTTTACAGATCTGTATATTACACACACGTGTATGTATAAAACACAACACACAAAAACACAAATTTTCCGATGTAATGTATGTGTGTGTTTTGACTAATTATTTGAATCTAAATGAATATTGTTGAGATGAAAAATCATATGCTCGTGCATTTATGTTATTGGAGTTAATATTTGTCAATTATATTTTATGATTGCACACGTTACACCGCTAGCGAGTACCTATATAATAAAAATTGCTAACTCGCGGAGGTATAAATAACATTAAAATTCAGAAGTACATTCGCCTATTTTATTGCCTTCCTTTCCTAATTGACTAATCTGCCTAAGCCGCATAAAGCATTCTGATGCCCACATGAACAGACTTCTAATCAATATTGCACAAACACTCCTCTCCGTGCTCTTCTTAAAAATGTTTGTAATTTTGCAAAGAAATAAATTTTCCTTTTTTCTTCAAATTAAATTTTTTCCTGCATTATCACGAGCATAAATTCTGAATAATTTATTCGGCTTCTATTTCAACGAACGGAGTGCACGAACATGCATGCGTGCGAATGTGATGGCACTTAATTGAATATTGGATGGAATTCATTCATGCTTTTGTTGTTCATATCTGTGCGTGTCTGTAATGTTTAAGGGAAGCCGTAAGTGGTTGGCAAATATAAAAATCCATGTTTGCGTCCAGCTGGTACCGTGACGTCACCAATCATTCATTCACTCCTTTCCATGCTTTTACAGCCTACACGTTTTTTCCCATTTTTTATGAAAGGAACGCAACAAAATGTCATAAAAACATCAATTTCATTGGAAACAGTCTGTGAAATATATTTTGAACGTTTTGTAAACCTTAGAAATTTGTAAAACAAGTAAGTGATCGTGCAAAATCTATTCATGCCCATATAAGCAAGTAAGTTTATGATCACATTAAACATAGAAACTTATTGAACATTAAAATGAACAAACTATGAATAAGTGTCAAACATACAAAATTGTAAAACATGCAAACCTGTTAAACACACAAACTTCTTGAACATAGAAACCTGTTAAAATAGAGACGTACTAAACTTATAGACCTGTTAAATTTAACTACACAAACGCCTTAAATATACGAACGTTAAAAAAAGGTCTCAAAAGTGACTTTTTCGAAAGATAAAACAAACATTAAAGCAAAAAATTTGTGAACGGTTGTTTTATGAACTGGAAATGAATTTTGTAATAAATCATAAAAACATTCCAAGGTTGGCACTTTTAATAATGAATGTTGGCATAGAACGCATGATGAAAAAGATAATGTAAGAGGTTTAGGATGATGTTGGTGATGCTGACGTGAGTAGGTAGATGGTGACGATGACGATGATGATGGGGGTGGTTGATGATTGCATCGGTAATTAAGCATGATATGTAAGGGGTAAGATGACAGGATGTTTTAATAATCTCATCTTGGAGAAACCAGAATCATATCTTATGATCAATGATGGCTTTGATGATGAAGATGATGACTACATTTGATGATGCTGTTGATGATGAATATCATATCAAACAATCTTTGAGAATGAAGAAAATGATGATGACCGCAACGTTGATCAGTGCTACAAAATGGTAGCGATTTCAGTGCTGTACAAAAATTACGTTAGAAAAAAATATTTTATTTTTTGCAACTACTACTGTTATTGCTACTGCTACTGCTACTACCACTAATGCTACTACTATAACAACTACCACTACTACTACTTCTACTACTGCTAATAATAATTATATCAGTAATAATAATATCAGTAATAATAATAACTTTTTATTAATAATAGTAGTAAAATAGTAGTACTTAGTTAGTAGTAATAAAACTTATGTTAGAATTTGTGATGGTTTTGACAAACTTAGTACAGAAATCAAGGCTGACTATTCACAATTAGCGAACGAATCAAGACTAGTAAGTACTTAGCAGGTTTTTTTTTGAACTGACATGAACGAACAATAGGTATAAGCGACGTTTTTTCTAGATGACAGAGTTGATGACGTTAATGAAGTCATTCGAGATTGAATTTTGAACAATTGAACAAAAAATGAAAAATAGTTAAGTTTCATGGTCGCCATTATTATCGTTTAATGTCATCCATTTATTTAAAATTTATCATTATTACTATTGCCATTTTCCAATTTGTTTTCCTTATTATCATCATCGTTGTCGTCGTCGTCATCATCAAATTCATCTTCTTCTTCAACATTATCGTCACCGTCATTATTATTCATCGTCATCATCGTCTATGTCATCATCACCATCAGTGTGACCATCAACCCCATCATCATCATCATCATCTTCATCATCATCATCATCATCATTTTCGTCTTTTCTCAGTCTCCCTTTATATCAACGTTAATAAACGTCAACTTGGTAGACCAGCTTTCCCATTATGCGCAGATTTATGACCGTTATGTTTCTCGTAACTCGATCTTTCATCATCTTCGATAGCATCATCATTTTTCATATTATAATTTTCAATGTTATCATATTTAATGGCATCTTTCAATTTCATAATTCTAATTTTCTTGTCGTTTAAATTTTAATCACATATTTATTACAATCATTGTATAAGTATATTTTACATGATTTAAGCAACAAATTATCACACCACACCCTAAACACCAACCATTCCGACAGACACAACAACTACTCTATCGGAGTCAACATTCATTGAGAACATTCGCAACAATGAAACCACATCCCTCCATACCACACCACATCACACCCAGCACACCACACCACACGAACAGCTTGGCAGCCCACCCAAGGAGACACACCGATGTATACTGGTCCCGACCTACCCTCATCCGATGTTCCGGAAGATATGACGGGTCCCGAGCCAACATCTATCCCTGTTCAAGTTTCTCTTCTACCTGTCATCATCGGATACGAAGCTATTGCTTGTTATGACGACGGTTCGTATTTTTTGTCAGTTTTTTTTAAAATAATTTTTGCTAGGTGAATGTTTAAGTTAAATTAGAAGAGTCCGCCGAAGATGAAAAATTTGTACTGCTTTTTAAAATTTACAACAATTGCTGCTACTAATAATAAATAACATTTCATTCAATCTTGTTAAAATATACCCTCATTACAATTAGGGAAACGCTTGAGGCTAATTAAGGCTTAAGAATATGCATCTGGCACCTAGGGCGGGTGTCCAATTTTGTCAAAAGTTTGTTTCGACGATTTTGGTGCTGTTGCAAAAAATATTGAAAAAAACGTAATTAAAAGTTTTCATAATTAACTAGTCGATTGATACATATCACATCTTGCTTACAAATTGCTTACAAACGTGAAGCCTGCTTCAAGACACATGTGTGTCCCTCAACATTCATTCTCTTTTTCATTCTAAGCTGTCGAAACTCTTTTGCTAAGTGAAAAATGTTTGTTAAAAGGTTTATTTGCTTTTTATACAGAAAAATTGTCTTTTTTATGGTAAACATCACTTTCAGACAAAAACGTGAATGGTTATCTGGAAGCGCTGAAAAAGATCTTGTTGTAGAGCCTTGTTTGGGCAATTAGGAAATAAATTCGTGAGTATGATTATTTCAGCCATATCAGTTATTCGCATAACGTGTGACAGGAAAATATCCATCAATTAATTATTAAAAACTAAAAACAATAGTTTTTTTTGAAAATTATTGAAATTGAAATTTTAAATATCTCAAACATAGTTACAAGAAAATCTAAACTTTGAAAAGCATGCACTTTCAAAGATTCAAATATTTTTTGCAACGTTTTTCGCAAACATAGTTTTCTTTGAAAAATTTTTCAGCAGAAAAATATATTACAACAGCTAAGGCAGTATTAACTGTGGGAGATGTGACAAATGTGAAATATTTCTGCTGGAACTTTTATTTCCAAAGTAAAAAAAAACTATTTTAATTTTCAGAAATGCTTTACAAAGAAAGCGTGACAAATTGCTTACAAACGTGAAGTCCGCTGCAAGGCACATGTGTGCGTCTAAACATTCATTCTCACTTCTATTTTAAGCTGGCGGAACTCTTTTGTGCAAAACTTTCGAGAAAAGATTTATTTGCTTTTTTATACATAAAAAATAATTTTATTCGTTGACATTATAAATAAAATAATTAATACAATAAATATATTAAAAATTATTAATTGAAGGTTCAGCGCCATTCATTCCACCACCACCTTCCGTTGAAATTCTTCCAATGGAAAACTTTGTGACATCTGATGAAAAAACCCTAAAGTAAAAAATTTTTTTTGTTTGTTTTTCTGAAATTTCAGTTTTTATCTTGATGGATTTAGCGCTGTTACGAAAAACGACAAAAATACGGAATTCATATAATTTTCTAAACTTGTGATTAGTTGGCTATCAAGTTAAGCACCTTTCAATTTTGAAAATTCCAATGATTTATGGTAAATCAATCGTTTAAGTTTCATTTTTGATAATTTTCACGTCAACCCAACAAAACCAGTGACCCACATATCAGTGAATCAGAAGCCAGAAAAGTATTCTCCGATTTAATTGCTCAGCGTTGCTGTTACGACAAGTCAGTCATTAAAGACATGGTTCTGCAGAAAATGACGTCTTCCAATGTATATCACGTGAGGAGTTATTTTTACGATGGTGATCACGTGAGGGTTTGTTTGTATTCACGTAAGTTGTGTGTGTGGTGTGTGTGTATGCCTGTGTGTGTGTGTGTGTCTAGGTGATCTGTGTGTGGGTGCGTGTGTGTGTGTGGTCTGTGTGTGTGGTCTGTGTGTGTGGGAGTGAAGAGAAAGTTAGTGAGCAAGTGAGTGAGTGAGCGAGTGATAGAGAGTGAATGAATATATGAGCATGAGCAAATGAAAAGGAAAACAGAATGAAAATATTTTTCGTTCGTACAAACAAATAAGAAGATTGATGCATGGCTTGCAATCATGCAGCAATCAATACACAATTAATTGCTACTGCATTCATTTCAGAAGACAGCTATCAAAAAATACCATCAACGCTTGTGGTGATATTTTGATGATGAAATAAATTCATTGCGGGGCTTCACAAAACTGCTATATGCAAGTCAGTGATGTCAGAGATAGTTAATAATTTTATTCCTAGATTCTTAAATGGGATCACCACATTTGTCATTCGCAATACATGCCAGACTCAGGAAGTTAAGTTGTTGTTTGAAAGATGAGTTACATAGAGACCTAGTTTGATTGCATTGCATTGCAAAGATAATTCATAAAATAGTATTTTTGCGGTATTTTATTAAGAAAATAATTTGTTTTGCTTACTGAGTTGAAATGAAAAACTTTTCATTTATCATAAAACTCCTAGTCCTTTTAAAATAACAAACTTATCTTTCTTCCTCCTCCCCATTGCTTTTGAAGCCACATCCATCACAACCATACTATGCTGCAACATTCACCTTCACATTCCTTACATACTTTCTATGCTTCGCCCTTATCAACATATAATCTATCATTAACCTATGCTCCCCTGACCTATATGTAATTAATCGTGTTGGTTCCCTTGTAAACCAGGTATTCCCCACCACCATGCTATGTGCATCCATAAACTCCAACACTCTACGCCCTTCCTCATTCCTCATTCCCCATTCTCTATGTACACCTTCATAACCGTCTGCATCCGCCCCCACATGACCATTCAACTCACCCAACAACACATAAAATGATTTCACTAAATAAATATTGCCAAAATCTTTTCTTTTAATAATGTATGCAATAATTTATAATGCTTTTGTGATGTTTAGTGATCAATCAATTAATCGATCGGTCAAAGTTATATAGACCTGTTACTAATGATTCAACTGTGCTCATTCCAAAACAATTATGAAGAAGTACAAGAAAAGTAAAATAAAATAAAATTAATTCTACTTCTAACTCCTCTACTCTTACTTTTGGGTATCTCAGAGTTCTATCCTTGGCCCTTTACTATTTATACTCTATACTTCTGAACTACCTCGTTTGTATTTTTAATGGTTTTTCTTTCACTAGTCAACTATATGCTGATGATTCTTATATTTATCTTTTCCTCCATCTAATCTTTATAGTGTTCTTCATGATCAATCTCTATGTCTATTTTCAATTATTGCTTGATCTGACTCCATGTGTCTTAAACTTAAACTTTAAAATTTGAATTAATTTGTTTTTATTTATCTAAACACTCTATTACTATTCTTTTTAATACCTTACCTAATTCTAAAACTCTTGATGTCTAAGCTTTATCTGTGATTCTGGCATGTCTTTTTCTTTTCAGATTAATAGTGTTGCTAAAAGTTCTTACTTTCATCTACGTAGAATAAAATGAATTTTGCTTTTTCTTGATGATCCTACTCTTTTCCTTCTTGTTGCTTTTTTAGATTTATTAAGAATTGATCATTGTAACTCATTCTACAAAGATCTTTCTGATTCTACACTCTATTCTTTAAATAGACGGTTTACGATCGTCTTCTTGTTCTCTTTTCTTTTTAACTCTTTTTAAACACTCTTTTGCTAAATCTGCATTTGTTTTTTCTGGCCGTTTTTTCTGAAAATCCTTACCTCCTTCTCTGACTTCTTCTCCACCACTTACGAAGTTCAGAGCGGATCTCAAGACCTATCTGTTTGCAAAATTTTTTGAGAAGCCCTGCTGAACATCGCGGAAAGAGCGTTTTTTAAACAAATTAATTTATTGATTGACTGAGATAAATTAAAAATTAAATTAAAATAAAAAATGGCGTTTGTAACAATTGCATCAGTACACATTGGAGACGTACATTGAGACAAGGATGACATCATGGGAGCAAGAACCCTACAGTGGTCAGTTTAAATATAGTGCTGTTCATTCCTTTTTTCGTTCGTGCGTTCATTCATTTGTTTCTTTACTAATTTAATTTTAAACATTCATTCGTTTGATCATTTGTTCGTTCATTCATTTATTCATAATACAATATTTTTAGTATGTTTTTTCTACTTTTTTTTCATATAAAAGTTATAATTAAACTTTTTTTATGAATGATAAGTCTTTTAGTTCGTTTAATTAAATTGCTATCGATTCTGTTTCAAAAGTTTCTTTGTTTCTTTGTTGGTTCCTTTTAATTAAACTTTTGATGTCTATTTTTAAATATATTTTTGAAACTTGAACATAGAAATAAATAATAGCTTGGTTGGACGTATGTAGCGTTCCTATGTGTTCTAAATTAAGTCTATTTGATGTTCATAAAAATTTGTCCTTGAAAGTTTCCCAAAATGATATTTTCTTGGCGTTGTTTTTCTGTTGATATTTAACATTAAAACATTTTCATTTTATTAATTTTGACTATATCGAAGAATATGAATTGAATAAGTATTAATGTATTAATTTATTTGCATGAACACACAAAATATATCAGTGATATATCTAAATATATAATAATTTAAAATAAAACGTAAAATGTTTTATTTACTTCGTTAAATCGGTTGCCAGATGTCGGGCAGTGCACATGAATGCACTTGCTAACACCAATCCAATTTGTGCATGACGTGTTTATTTGCATGCTAATATTTGTTCTTAAAGTTGCTAGATGTTTGTCTACTCAATAACTCAAAAGTTTTTGAACATTTATTGTAAACATTTTGTTACAAACAAATAGCCATTCACGCTCTTTCAATTAATCTTCTGAGATTTTTATTTTTTAATTAAACGCGCCAGAGTGATAGCCTTAAAAAAACTTAAAATTTACAATGACCTCAGGCCAGTACGTAGACTCCCCTGCTAATGGAATGCCCCCCTCACCATGGGAGATCCACTGCCACCCCAACCAAATGTTCCACGACGAGATACATCTGATGGAAGTGCCGCACACTGCAACCATTGTTGTAAGTTTGCCTGTCTGTGTTTGCCCGCCTGCCTGTCTATCTGTCTGTTTCAATGCTTGCTTGATTATGTTGTTATTTTGGTGTTGTATTTAATATTATTTTTATTAACCCGCCTCTATGTCTGTGTTTGTGTTTTTGTTTCAACGAGTGCGTCAGAAAGTGACTGTACAATAATGACAGTATGAAAAAATGAAATAACTTTGAAACGATAGGATGTTATGTTACGTTATGATTTTTATGTACAAATGTCTGCTCAAACTTACGAGTCTGAACACGAAGGCATTGTTGCACTTGAAGAAAATATTTGTGCAATTGTTTCAACGCGTTATTATAACTGACGTGTTTGCTGGGATCATTAGAGCATGATGCTAAAAGCGATAAAAATGTGAAAAAATATGAGAATGTATGTGCACCTGATGATTCATTCCTACTAATATATTCATTTATTTAATTGTAATAAGTTATGTTAATAAATAATAATAAATATTCACTGAAGTTCTGCAGTGTTCTCTCTCAACGTATCTTATGTACACGTTTACAGAAAACTTTGTGCCAATATTCTTAATTATCAGAGTGAACTTATCCCACTGCAGACATGCACAGCCTGCGGTTGTCAGGGTTGTGTGAGGTGCTTCAACTGTTTAGGCAGGGGCTTCAAGAGGTGCATATCGTGCCACGGGTCAGGCAACGTCATGAAGCTGACGGACTCCAGAGGCCCCAGGCACATGGATTCCTGCTGGAGGTGTAGAGGCACTGGAAGGAAGAGGTTAGGCTACTCATTCATTTCCACATAGTTATATAAACTCAAAAATAAACCAAAACTATTTTAACGATTGATGACTAAAATAATTCAATGGCTGAAATAATTTCCAAACCTTGAGTATGCCATTTTTATTGTTTAATATGATTAAAAATCTTCCTCCTTCTTAAAAACGCTCTCTAGATGTCCCTCGTGCGGTGGGGATGGGCGGGTGGCCTGCAAGACTTGCCTGGGTTTCAAGTATCTCAAGTGCTTTATCAACATCAGAATTGAATAGTTTGTACTTCTCATCATCTTTTCATCATCACACATTTCTTTCTCTTACTGACAACAATATAAAAATGTTATTGCGTTGTTTCTTTCATAAAATATTAATGTTTGCCGTTTACTAGCTTGATTATTCAGTAAAATTCGATTTCAAATTAAATTTCCATCTTGTTTCCATATGGATTTTTTATCTTAGTCAAAATTAATTAATGTTGAAAATTTGTTCTAAAATATTGTAGGAAATAATAAACGAAAAAATGGATAAATATAACAAAAATGGTATCTATTTTTTTTATTTTCACTATTGCACACAAAGTTCGAACAACAGCGTTGAGCATATGATCAATCGAAGTCAGCTGTTGAATGAGGCTCTCAAAGAGGTCAAGGGTTACCAAGTTTTTCAGCAAACACAGCCCAGGGTACGTTCACAAATTAAGTTTTAATAATAATATAAATTAATAACTTTTATTTATGTAAAAACTGTGATTACAGTTATTTTTCACAAATTTTGTGCAAAATTATTCAGATATGTTTCCTAGGTCAGAGTGAATAATTAAAATGAGTTTTTTTCCAGGAATGCCTAGCCAGATATTTGTTTAAAAAAAATTTTGGAATTAAACACCCATACACATCTGATAGACACAGAATTGCGTATTCAAACGTGACAGCATACAAACATGCATTCGAGTGATGGAAACAACAGAAACTAATTTTGAAAACGAACCATACCTTTTTAAGCAACTTTTTTGCTTATATTAATAAAAATGGGTTGCTAACAACGTAATAAACTGCTAATCTAACAAAATCAAATTTTTTAACTTACGAATTATTTTTTATTCCATACACAAATAACCTTACAAACTTATTTATATATGCAAAAGAACCTACATAAACAAGCTTGAACATGAAGAAACGTACCCGTATGTATAGGTGTGGCCCATAGTGAACCACCCAGAAGAAGAGATATGTTGCATGTCAGACGCGCTGCTGTCGGAACATATCAAAACTTTCAACTCCTACGCCAGGATCATCATGCAGGTTGTTCGAGTTACAATGATGAGGTCATGGTAGTGGTGGTTTTAAATGTTTAATGTTATTCATACAACAATCACAAATATGATAATATTAAATTATTTTAAAAAATGATAAGTAAAATAAATTTATTGAACTTCTGGGGTGACGACAGTAATAATTAACACATTGACAAAAAGACCGCTGCCAACAACCTTCACCATTACATTTTGAATGCTCAATAATTCGACTTGTTGCGTTAATATGAGCCAAAAATTACATTCCCACCAGTCAGAAATTAATAATATATAGAAATAATAGTTAATTTAGTTTTGATATAAATTCAGAATTATACTTTAAAACGATATATTGGTTGATTAATCACAATATAATAATATCAAACTGGATTAAATAAATGTTATTTGCAAACTGTTGCTGGGCGTGAAGTCACCCATAACATTTTTGTAACAAAATTTCGTTACTCCAAACATTATCACCAGACATCGCACACCACATACACAGAGGCAAAAACTGAAAATGATCCCAGTGACAGAGTGCACGTACGCGTGGAAACAGGAATCCATCAAATTCTGGATCTATGGAAAGGACAACCAACTCCACGCTCCAAATTTTCCACAAAAATATTGTTGCGGTTGTGTGGTTGTCTAATCAATGTTTTGTATATACTGCATATGTGTATGTATGTATGTATATGATGAACATTTAGATAGACATATATCCCACCTTACCCACCAGCACGGATTTTATGACTGAGACATCAAAATACACACATCACATACTTATTATTTTCTGAACCAATGAGGACTGCATGTAAGACACTTCTAACAAAATATTAACGCGTAGTTTGTGATAAAAAAAAGTGTTTATTTTGATGAAAAATTTGTTTGTTAAAGAGAGTTGTGCGTGTGTTGATTTGAATAAATAGTTAAACACCGTATCTATTTTATAAAAGAAGAGCGTTTATTTGACGAGCCAAATGTTTACTTCATTAATTACTTTATCAATAATTAATTAATTAATTACTTTATTACTTTACTTTCGATGTTATTAATTTTTATAATAGCATTTCACTAGAACTACAAAATTGTTTGTAGTTAATCTACTGCCCTCCATCCCACATGCAAACGCACGTCACAGCTGTACGTCGTCGTGTTTTTTTACTCGAATACTTGAAACTTGCTTATTTTATGTTAACATTTGCATTTTCTCATCAGATAGATCCTCAACATGATATCACACTTCACATTTTTACACTAAATTTTTCCAATTAATTTTTCCACAGGCTTTTTTATTTTGACTACTATTTAAAATTTGTGGGAACATCTAAAAGATGCTCATTTCTTCCTATTTTTGATTAATAAATACTCAGAATCTATTTCCAAATTTTAAAGTAAAATTCGTTACTAACCATGCCGATGATGTTAAAAATTCATTATCTGCTAAATAAACTCTTACAAATTTTGGATGGCTTTACGTATTGACTATTCAAAAACTAAATTAACTTTTATTTCTTCTCCTATTTTGCATTTTGCCATAAAACATAATACAAAATGTCGCACTTGTGTAATAACATTAATACATAGTACGAATGCAGGCAGGTTTGTCATCAATTTCGGTGAATGTCAGTCTTCGTTTGTACGTACTCTGATTACGTGTAAGATTGTATGTGTGTGTGCGTGTGTGTGTGTGTGCGTGTGTGTGTGTGTGTGTGTGTGTGCGTGTGTGAGTGTTTGTTTGCTGAAAATATAAATACAATAAAAATGATGATCGCTGCACACGTTCGTCAATTATTTCAGATTGATGACATTGTGGACACTGTTCATGTGCAACTGGAATGAATGGTTATTGCCGTTGTTGTAGTTACTTCTGTGGTTCTATATATAGTAAAAAAACTGTTTTCGTCATCAAACAAATAGTTGTTCAGAATAGTTTTTTTTATTAGACCAATATACAGAGTAATGTTTGTTTGTTTGCTTGTGTTTGTTTGTGTTTTTATTTTAAATATAGAATAGTTCACATTATAATATTTTTGGATAATTATTTTGTTTTGTCTTATAATTTTTATATTATTTTATATTTTCAATTCAACGTATATTTTCATGGACTATAATTTTTAGCTCAATCTGTTTGAACTTAATATGTAAATATATACATGCATATACAATTCTGTCAATGTTTATTTTGTGAAACTTATTTGTGAATATATACATTTGTATATATGCAATGTTACGAAGCAAATATATGGGCATAGTATAAGATCTATGACGGTAGATGCCGTTAAATGGTATCATAGAAAATTAACATCAATTCGTTTGTTAATATGTTTTTCTATTGCTACGATATTATGTTTTGTTATTATTAATTCAATAGTTGGGTAACTTTATTTGCGACATTTTACGGAAGAAAATTATTATCCTTAAAGGATGCTTTTTGGGGTTTCAAGAAGTTTGACTGCCAACATTTTTATAATGGCAGTCAGAAAGACATTATACAAATTTTTATTATTATTTTATTAACTGCACCTTTTTATTATTATATTTTAAAAAATGTTGATCAAATTTTATAATAAATTTATATAGAAACATGCTGCTTTTCTTGAAAACAAACATTAAAATAAATCGACATTCGCTTTTAATATCATCGCAATGACGATAAATTGTTATAAATTTTTTTGTGATTGATTAAAGCTTAAATCGAAAGACATTAAAGGTTAATGAAGCAATGCTGTAGCTAGCCCTATTGCGTAGAACAAGATAACTGCATCAGTAAGAAGACTTCTACTGTCGTTCAAGAAGAATTGATAACATTTATATTTTAACTCTTTTTTCAGCTGTTTTTGTTTTGTCACGTAGAGTTTATTTGAATTTGAGAGCGCCCGTGAGAATATTTAATGCGTGCTATATATAAATGATCCTTGATGATGTAATGTTAATGAAAAAATTCAGGTTTTATTTAAATTTTGCACCTGCGACTTTTAACACTTCCATATGCTACCTGCCACAATAATCATCTTCATCCTCTTTTGTTTCGCCTATTACACGTTGTGTAGATGTTAGTAGTTCGCATTCAAATAATTTTTACGAATGAAAAATTTTATTTTCGAAGAATGCAATTCTATCTCTTGGACCTTAAGAATTTTGACAGCAAATACTTTTCCAAATGAGGATATATACCAATTTTAAACCATTTTCTCAACTGCACTTTTCATTATTTTCTATTTAATGACATTTAGAAAATACTCAATAATGACCATATGAAGCAACATGCTACTATTTTTAAAAATTAACATTAAAATAAACTGCAAGACATAGCGATACAAGAGTAAATAACGTACGTCGTCAGCCTGCTTATATGTCAACGTTGCTGTCCGGTTTATTAGAAGAAGCTTGCCATTCAAATGAATTGTCGTGTTAGCATGCTTTCAAGCGTGCAGCACCATTTAAACTGTGAATGAACGAGCGAGCTAGCTTTCTAGTAGAACGCGTCTATTTGAGTACTCTTTAAATATAGACCTGGAGTACACTACATTTGTCACGTATATTCATTATTATCTTTCAAAATAGATTTGTTTAAAACTCTTTTAAAATTTATAATTTTCGTTTAAAGGACGTTTGAGAGCAAATTTTTAATTAACGAGTAGTGATTTCGTTAAAAAAAATACATGATCTATAGATATCTATGAGACACTACTAAATGATAAGAAGTTTATTTGCTTGCCACGTGCACATGGTGAGTCATGTACAAACACTTTTTATCGACTGCTTCTTTAATAATCTCTCAATCTGAGAATTAATTTTCGTCTGACTATCACCAACTGCTCAAGTCATTGCTTTGAAGAAAAAAAATCTCTCAGGTTTTTTTAATTATTCGCATTTAGGCATTTGAATATTTTTATTGCAACTTAATCATGTACTAATTTATATGTTCTTCTGATAAGTATAACTATTGGGCCAATTTGCAAAAAAAACAAGTTGTGTTTTCAGTTTATGCTACTAGAATAAATATCAATTGATCACTGATTTACAGATCTTTCATTGAAGATTCAACATGAAACACAAGGTAATATTGTTAGTGGCCAGTTTGCTGGTCAGTTGCATTGTGAAGGTTGACGGAAGAGATATGTTCACAGCGTTGGTGGAACTTACGAAAGCCTTAAGAGCTGAAAACTCCGTCGCTAAAGAACTTAAATCTTATATAGGAAAGGAACTTTTGCGGATACAAAAATTGGAAAGGTGCTTTGAAATGGTTGTTTGTTTCGCTTCTCGAAACAATTTGTTAACTAACAGAATTACGCATTGCTCATTAAAATTATCGCAGCATTGCACGAGACTTGGAAAATCACAGCGAACAAGCTCTGAACGATCCAATGAAATACCTTGCAAACCCTGTAAACGCGTACCTCCTCGTTAAGAGGTTTGCCGTCGACTGGACAAACGTAGTTGAACAGTACATCAAACCGCATATCAGCCATGGTCAGTTTAAATAATTTATATTCAGCCATGGTCAGTTTAAATAATTTACATTCAGCCATGATCAGTTTAAATAATTTACATTCAGCCATGGTCAATTTAAATAATTTACATTTGGACCTCCGTTTAACAAATTTGATGGATCCATGAAAAAAATTCGTCCTTTAAAAATTTTGTTGTGTTGCTTAAAAGGTGTTTAAATGTTATATATTAATGAAAAACAATTATTTATTTTGATATCGTAAAGCAGGAGTAGGCAAACTTTTTGCTGTGAGGGCCGCATTGAGAATTACTTTACTTTGAAGGGTCGCATATGTACTTAAATAACAACTTAAATAGCAAATTTTTTTCCACCCAGGGAAAATTATTTTTAAAATTTGTGGCTCCTTTTTTGGTCATGATGCCTGGCTGACGACGTTTTTTAGGCAAACATGGCTAATAGCTAAATAGCTTCGCGGGCAGTTGTTTGCCCACCCCTGACGTAAAGTAATAGTAATTGTAAAAAAAAAATTAAAAGTGAAATTTATTCTTTGTTCCATGCAACGATGATTTTGATTTTATTGAAATTAATCAAAGAAAAATTTCCAAAAATTACTAAAAAATGAAACAATAATAATGTACAAAATCGCCGCTCATGTCAATTTATGGATTGTTTACTGGTCGAACATTTCTTTTACTTTTATAAATTTTGTTTGTTATAGAGAAATTAATTTTGTTTTATAGAAACAGTTTTATATGTAAAATTCCATGGGACATAAAAAAATTCGTTCTATAAAGATTTTCGTTTTATAGAAGTTTGTCATAAGGAAGTCGTTCTGTAGTATGATAAATGTAATACAGTACATATTAACGTAATTTCGAAAGTTTTGCCTGTTATAAATCTTTTTTTATTCAACTTACAAATAAGTTTAATTTATGCAGCTATTCCACTGAAATAAAACTAATTGAAGTTTTATCAAAACTTAGTGCAGTTTATGTAAAAAATGAAAAGTAAAGTATCTTCAAATGTGTATTTCCGTCTTCAGAGTTCTTGTCTAGCCTTTCATCGCAGACGAGTTGGTTCCCAGACAGCGAAGATCTGTCCGGGTCAGCACTGGCGCTTCTCAGACTGCAGGATGTCTACGCCCTGCAGACGTCAGAAATTGCAAAAGGAAAGATTGAAGGGGTGGTCAAGTCTCCAGACATGAATGGTAGAAAAATTTGGTCTAACTAGTCAATTTCAAATGTTTAAACGCTTCTTTGGTCATTTTTAAATTTCAATTCATTTTCATTTACTATTATATTTAAAACTACTATTATTTAAGGAAACAAATTTCAAGATAATTAACATAACTCAGAAATCAGAAGCACGTGCTTGAAATTAAAACAGCTGATGATTGCTTCCAGCTCGGTTTAGTGGCTTACAATCGCGAGGATTTCTATCACGCCGTACTCTGGATGGATGAATCGTTGAAGCGTGATCAGAATGAAACTTTTAAGACCACAGACAGGAGTAAAACGTTGGACTATTTGTCTTACGCCATGTATAGGGTTTGTAATTATTTTCGTATGAAGTCAAATAATGTAATTGTGCATTTTTCAATCTCTAGACATCAGCAGTATCCGTATAGTATATAAGAAAACTAATACTAGTTTCTACAAACAATTTGATGGAATCTATTAATATCATTTGATTTCAACAGCAAGGAAATGTTCACCACGCTTACAACTTAACAAAAGAATGGCTCACTATGGGTTAGACAGATTTAACCAGTTGTTGGATTTTCAGTTATTTGTCAATTTAAAGTACGTTTTGTAGGAAGTGCATTCTGATAAAATTTCCTCATTTAATTCCACAAACTCTAATGAAAACTCCAAACTTTACATTTTAAATGAATGACTCATCTTGTCCACATAGACCCAAACAACGAAAGGGCCAAATCCAACCTGAATCATTACATAAGAATGATTGGTGAAATCAGTCCCAATGCCGAAATGAAAAATATTAGAAGTCTCCCGGAACACAAGTACACCGCAGATTATAACAATTATGAAAAACTTTGCAGAGGAGAAAAAACGCACGTTAGTGCCGCTCGTTTCTGGAATTAATAACGTTAAAATTATTATTAAACTACATCTCTTAATAGACTTTGTTTAATGTTTTTAGAACAAGTTTAGGTAACAACATTTTTCAAAACATGGTCTTGTAAAAATATCAGAAATTTATTTTTAATTTCGTAAAAAAATTTAATATGTTAAAGATAACTATTTTGATTTTAACAAAATTAATACTTAACTAACAACATATAATATTAAACATCTAATAATCTAATATTTACATTCCTATAACCCATTTCAAAAAATTTAACGGCGACATATTTACTACTTTGCTAGGTGTACCCGCACGAAAAAGATCTGACGTGTCAGTACAAACGTCACAAGCCCATGTTCTACCTCGCTCCATTGAAGGAGGAGTTAATGTACTTCGACCCGCCCATTGCCATCTACCATGACGCCATCTCTGAAAAGGAGATGCAGAAGGTCAAGGACTTAGCTATGCCGATGGTTTAGTCATTTTTCAATTTTTTTTTTTAACAATAATTTTCAATTTATTTTTTAAATTTAGTAAATGAAAATTTTCAAAAAATATTTCAAATTATTTAGTATAAATAATTTTATTTAAGTTTTTATCAAAATTTATATAAATTTATAAAATTTATAAAAAATTGCCGTTGTTTTATATTTTTTATAAGCTATCAAAATGTGAAGTGATTTTCAATATAGAATTTGGAATATTTATTATTATCTAGATGAAAGATTCAACTATATGTTTTTCAATTTTAAGTTGCACAGATCTGGCGTTTTCCAGCTATCAGATACACAATCTGAAGAGTTTCCAGAGTACAGAACAAGCAAAACGTTTGTTGCCACAAGAAATTTATTTTTCAACAACGATTATGCAATAAATTTTTTTTCTTAACTTAATGATTTTAGTGAAATGATTTGATAAGAGCATGGTCTGAATGTTGATTCGTTAATCTGCAATCCTTCACAGAGCTTGGTTGTCGGACCACAGTGATTCATTGATAGCACGCATCGCTAGAAGAGCGAGTGGCATGTCTAACCTTACTCTTGACACCGTCGAGTTTTTACAGGTTCTACAAACCACACTTATTTTCAATTCCAACTTTTCAATGTTTTTTGTTATGTTGTTTTTTAGTTTTTCTTCATGTTGCGGTTTTAAATTATATTTTTTTGTTATCTTCATCTACATATGATTTATAAAAAATTTTAGGTGCTCAATTACGGTATTGGAGGACAATATGAACCCCATTATGATTTTGCCAGGGTAAGTGATTAAATTTGATGGTTAGAAAAAATTTCATTTTTTGCCTGTAACCCATTCCTATTTATACGTTTGAATTTTATTCGATTACAACATTCATCTAGTATCAAGTAACTTTACTGCCGTTTCATTCAAAAATTGATAAGTTTCAAACATTCATATTTACAAACACGTTCGTTCTAAAAATTCCTTGTATATAAATATATAAACCTGGTGTACATTATACTGATCATTCATACATTTTTTTATTAACTTTAAATAAACTTATGATGTTGATAATACATTGATGCGTAAGTAATTTATTGAATTACGAATGTTTCAAAGAGTAATTTGTTAATTTTATTTCAAAAGCCGAATGAAGAGAGCACATTTGAAGAATGGAGAGGCAACCGAGTAGCAACCGTCATTTTTTACGTCAGCCATTTTTTTATTTACCATGTCAAAATTGTTTCCCAGTAGTTAACGAAATTTAATTAAATGATTCAAAAATCAGATAAGTGACGTAGAAGCTGGAGGAGCCACAGTATTCAATGAACTTGGTGTTAGGTTGACTCCGAAAAAGGTTTAACCAATCATATATTTTTCATATCAAATCGAAATCATTTCATGAATAATTTTTCCTATTTAACTTGAAAAACGGTCATTTATTAATTAACTCCAAAAATGTTTCCAAGCGAGCATGTGCGATTTGGTACAACCTACTGAAGAATGGGGAGGGTGACTATAGGACGAGACATGCCGGCTGCCCCGTATTATCTGGCACAAAATGGGGTTTGTTTCAATATTGATATATCACTTTAACTTCCAGCAGCTCTTGTTCTTGGTCATTACAATCGGGATTTTATTTTATGCTTTCAGTTTGCAACAAATGGTTCCACATCAAAGGACAGGAATTCTCAAGGCAGTGCAGCTTATCACCATTAGAATAATCTTATAACGGAAATATTTTTTGACATTATAATTAATTGTATAAATTTTAAATATTTATTTAGAAAATAATTTTTTATAAGTATAAATTTTATATATTTATTAATGAGTATAATTTTTTTAAAGTTATTGTAATAGGTTCTCAAAATGGCTACAAAAACTTTATATTTTTATAAAGTTCCATATTTTAACATCATACAAAGAAAGACTTAGTTTTAAACCGACACTAACCAATACATTTGTATCTTTTAAACAGCGCTTTATCAAAGTTGGAAGTTTATTTTATCCCTGATACAATAATAAATTACGTGAATATTCAACTTGAAAATGATTGCTTAATGATAAATTGTTTGAATCAGTTATCTGGCAGTTAAAGCGATTTAGGTTTTTATTATTATTATTTTCATCAATTATCATTATTTTTTGAAGCAAGTTATGAAAATGAACAATTTTGGATTTTTTGAATGAATTGTTTCTTATACCAGCATTAAAATTTGTATGTTTAGCATTTTAGATATTTCACTAAAAGATGTTTATGTTAAACTGAACATTTTGACAAATCAACGTTTTGTGAACATATGAGAAATTTCAACGTTATGCTTGTGAACATGTGAAACATTTCAACTTAATGTTATATTCTGCCCAATTAATTAGTTAGGTTGAGATAGAACTTCTTTGTAAAAGTCCATTTTCCTATCTCTCCACAAGCAGACGACGAAGGCCTTGAGACCTTTACATTTATCATTGTGCGCACAACCGACGTCAAACTTGTTTCCTCCATAATACTGAAAGTAAATAATTATGAACGTTATATAACTTATCAAGAAATTACTTCTCATCAGAAGAAATATTCAATACGATTACCGAATCTGTCGGTAGCAAGCAGTAATTCTTCTTACATAATTGAGCAATAAAAAAATCTATTGCCCATCCGTAATAAGCCTGCTTGAGATTGCTCGATCTCGAGAAACTTGTGACCGTCAAATTTTCTCCATTCAATTCATATAAACCTTTGCTGACAGAACATCCATCTGCAATCTTGTCGGCTTCTTCACTTAACTTGGGGTCACTATTCTTTGTGTCGTAAAAGTTTTCAAAAAATTAGAAAATTTGTTTGTCTTAATTGATTAAATTTCCGAAAAAACTTACTGAGTGACTTTTTCTACTATTAAAAGAGTTCACCAAAAAGTCCAGAAAATCTATTTCATGTTCGTCTTCCATATAGACAGTGGAGTCTGTTAATGCAATCATCAACAGTGCAACAAAACCAGATGATACAATTCTCGCCATATTGCTAATGAGTAACTGGAAGGTAACTGAATGATTAAAACCGTTTAAACATACGCAAATGAAAATACAGAGATGTTTAAATAGAAAAATTATTAGCTCGTGTGTTATTTATTGTTTGCCACTTCAATTAACAGTTTCAATCGATGAGAATTTTTTTGTTCAGACATTATGAATAAAAGTGTATATGAATTAAATTAAATAAATACTCATTTTGTTTCGACTATTTAGAAAACATACATTTTTCTTTCTTAAAACTTTATAAAAAATAAGTAATATTTTATTTAGTCAATACCGGAATGTTAATTAAAACAAAATCAACTGAAATATTTTTACTGTAGAGCAAAAGCAAATATTTAAAAAAGCATTCAATAAAGCACATCTGCCGCAGACATTTTGTGTGCTGATCATAGATATATATATCCATGGTGCTGATGTTACAAAAAATCTAATTTTCGTTTTTTTTATCATGTCCAATGAATAATGATTATTGACTTAATGTTGAGCATGTTTTAAACAGCAACGTTTGATGTGGCGAATCTATATACTTCAGAACGCTGTTTTGAGCGTGCTTCTCAAAGATTGTCTTAAATTTGCGTTTTACCAAAATTTCTTTAAAACGATTTTTTAAATAATTATCTGGCAACAGAAGAAACAAAACTTGAAATTTTTTAATGTTTTCATACCACGGATGGCTCAAAATAAATTTAAAAATTTAAATTCAGATTGATGAAGTTGAACATGATAAAAAATTTTGTGTTGATGGAAAATTTCAAAAACATGTTTTATTATTGAATATAAAAAAAAAACAAAAAATTTGTTTGCTAAGTTTTGAAATTTTTTAACAATGATTCTTATTGCATACAACACTCAAAATGCTTAAACAAACAAAATGTTTTTTGTAAAGATGGAAACAATTAACAATTTGAATGGCTATCAATATGACTATTTGACTAGGACTGACAATTTATTCTATTTAAACGCGTGCGAATATTTATTGAAAACATTTTAAAGTATTCTATCGAAGTAACATTGCGTTTTATTTACTTGTTTAACATGGTTAAACTTTTTTCGATCGGTCTGGTCACGTTGTTGCTACTGGCAGCCACCGAAGCGATCATTTATTCGCAGGATGAACACGAGTTGCATTTCTTAGATCTTTTAGTTAGCACGTTCAATGAAAACGAAACAAACGCGGTAAATTTAAAAATTTGTTTTCCTAACCAAATTAATACTTCTAAATATATTATAACAGCTAAAAATATGTAAATTATGCAGGTTTATGATCGCGAGTTGAGTTTAGAAGCTGACAAATTCGCAGATACGTGTGTGTTCAGATCTGGACCATACGAGACTGAAAACCCGAAACCGGCCTACAAACATGTAATGCTTCTAAGCTACGATAGATCAAATGTCCTACGAAGTGCTTACTTGACTTGGTCAATCAATTATGCTATGTACCTTTTGTGTCGTACAGGCCTATGCTATCCATCCGAGACAGTAAGAAAGCGACACATGCACAAGTTCATCAAATGATATTTAACATTATTTAAAATTTATTTAGTTGAAAACCAGCTACAGTTTTACGCTTGGTTGCGCACACAACGATGAATGTGAAGTAACTCCACTTATAGTTTGTATGTTGAAATTGAAATGAACATCATCCTAATAAAAACGTCCTGTAACTGAACTGGTGAAGACTTAAAATTGAAATGTAAATTTCATGAATTTGTTATTTGGTAATTAACTTTGTCAATTAAAATATAATTTGAATTATTTTAAATTTCTCAAATAAAAAAACAACTATCTATTATTCTAATAACTACCATTCGACCAAGCAGTAAGACAGCTCAAACCCAAAAATTAATACAATCAAGTTTCAATAAAGTGGGTGAAACTTACCGAACAAATTCAATCGTCTAAAAAAGTTGGGCGACCGTGCACGCACGCAAATTTGTTAGTAAGGTGTTTTAGACGTTCCATTAGATGGATGGTTGTATCGTCAAAATTAATAAAATCAAAACTATTCGCTATTTCATATAGCCGTTTTAATTCCCCGAAAAAATTTCCCCAGAGCGTGAATTTAATTGAACTAGATTGTAAGCCTTCGTGGTTTATATAAATCCAGTATAAAATAAAAATTGAATTCCGTTCATCAAAATAAACTATATCTCAAAAGCTAATCTGCTCCATAATTATGAGCAAAAGATACAATAACAAAAATGTTAACATCTAAATACTTTGCAGAATAATAAAAAATATTATTTACACTTCAGTTAATTATTTACAAATAGACAAAACAAATTTTTAAAAAACAAATAAATGAATTAAGTTAGATCAGCAAAACAGTCATCATTCACCACTATTATTAGAAGATTTCACACATCCATTTTTACCAAAAACGGTAATAAAATCATTTAGTAGTGATATGTTCTCCTTGTGTTGCTTCACCATCAACATTCGAAGTGCTGTAAACTCTGTTTTGAGAGCATCAACTATCTCTTTTTGAAATTTGGACTGAGACTGAACCAACATATCCAACCTTCTTAAAAGGCTGTCTTCAAGATGGTTTGACATTTGTGGAATGCTGATGCTATCATACATTCCAGTGCTGTTGTAGTGTTCAGTTGGGTACTCCAAATTTCTATCCTCTTCTTCTTTAATTAGATGTGTTTCGTTTGATTCATGTGATTCATTTGCTAGTTGATGGCTAAATTTTTGAAAAAATTGAATAAATAAAAATAATACATATACATATACATATATATATATATATATATATATATATATATATATATATATATATATATATATATATATATATATACATGAGAGTTTGCGTTTGTATCAAAATAAAAAAATAATGAAATGTATATATTACATATCGGCAATTAATATGTTAATATTTGTAACTAACTACACCAAGATTTAAATTACTCACATTTCAGGATATGACTTGCTCAGCTGAAATTCATAATAAATGAAAAGTTATTATTAAAATGTAGAGACAATGTAATATTTATATGGCCATTACATTGATTCATAACACATACTTCATCATACTGTTGAGTGAAACAAATTTCTTTTCCTGGTTGCTCAACGTCAGTGGCTACCAAAGCTTTTTTACAATCTGTTAGTGAATTTGCATTTGGTTTTCGCTTTCTTATAATTTCAGCCCTTCTTTTCAATTGTGGAGTTCTATAAATCACGTCACTTCCATGATTGTGAAGCAGGTATGAGTCCAGTACAACTAAACAGTTTCTGTTTTTATAAGCACTGACTTTTACGAACACAGGGCAGAGTTTCACAGGTCTGCAAAGAAACAAATAACTGAAGCACTTTTTTTTATACCAATGAATACTTGTATACATTTAATTATAAATAACAAGGTTCAACAAAAACAAACTAATCAATTTTCAGAGCATAAATACCTAAAAAATAAAACAAGTGTAATGGAAATTTAGCTTAATAAAAAAATGTAACTTTTATTGATAATTAGAAATCTAACGAAAAAAAAATAATTGAAAAAATAAATATTTAAAACAGACAAATTTAAAACACAACCAATTTCATGATGAAAGGACATTTCAAAAAGTATTAAGAGAAATACAAACAAAAAGAGATTTAAATTTAATAAGCATAGATGCCAGAATCTAGACTAAGGTAGTGACTCGCCACCACTAGTGGTAAGTCATCATTCCATCTGGGCAGATGCAGGAGACAGGGTAAAGCGGCAAAGAGATTAAGAAATAGAAACTAATCAGTGCCAATGGAAAATAGATGTGCACTTACTCTACATCAGGAGTTGAAGTTTGGTGGTACTTGAAGCTGCTGTGCTGCTTACAAATATACTTGGCATAACGATACTTGAAGTTTAAATTGTAAACGTTCTCTTCTCTTTTGATGTGCTTGTTGACTGTCTCAATCCTCTTTGATGTCTCAATCACAAAAACGCTGTTTGTCATAATTTGGAAACTGTTGAGAGATTTCATGAAATCGGCATACGAAGCAAACTCTGCTCCCTTCTTCAAAGCATCCAGCGTCATTCTAAAATTTTAATTATTGAATTGCTGTACACTAATAATACGACGACAGCCGACGAGCCAGTGTGTGAAAATTTTGAAATTAGGTTAATATAACAAACTCGATTGACACATTTTGACCACGCATAAATTTCCTCAACAGCCTAATTTATACACTGTTATAAGCACAAATATTATAAGTATGTCATATATATATATATGCTTTTGACCAGAATTTATAACATTTTAAAGCATAATATCATAAAAATTATACCTGAAAACAGCTTTTCTAAATGTTTTTTAACATAAAGTAATAAAAATTAAAAAAATTAAATTTTCAAATATTTGATGATTACATATACTTAGAATACATCATGCAAAAGGCATAAAAAAAACTAATTAATCATGTACATAAACTTATGAAACGCAGTTTATAGCTTAATTAATTTATAATAGTATTATATCCGTTTGTATACTTTTATTCTGTTAATGTTCATTTACTGCTAGTTTTCGGCTTTCCATAAAACTTGCCCTTTTCAAGCATCTGTTCTCATTTCAACTTACGTATGAAGGCCTGCAAGTTTTTGTAACAGCTCCGTTAATTTTTAATTTAAACTTTTGATTTTTCCTAATTATCTGTTAGTAATTATGTTTATATATTAAATTTGCATTTCAATTTTTTAATTATTCTATCTTGTCAAATGGTTATTCTTTTTTTAAAGGCGTTCAAGTTTAAATCCATTTTGTGTGAACTGAAAAGAAAAAAAAAGGAAAAAAAATGAATGGCGATATTTCTGAGGATGAAGCAGCTGAAAAACTAGGCAGGAACGATAGTTACGTGGGTGTCGTTATTTCCTCATTATGTGTTCCATTGAATGCTTTTTTATTAGGTATATGTCTAGTTCTTCTCTACAAAATATTCAAAGCTAAACGACAACACAGTCAATCCACTCAAAATGAATTACCACCTATGAAAAAAAGAGATTTCACACTTGAGCAACTGCGAGAAGAAAACAACAAAAACGGAAGAATTTTAGTTGCCGTAAATGGCAAAGTTTTCGATGTTACAAAAAACCACAAACAGTATGGACCAGATGGACCATATGGAGTATTTGCAGGTAGGGATGCTTCACGAAGTCTTGGTACATTTTCGTTGACTGGCGATGCCATAAGAGACACATATGATGATCTAAGTGATTTAACTTCTAAACAAATGGAGCAAATAAAAGAATGGGAAATGCAGTTCACAGAGAGCTATCAGTTACTTGGTAGACTTTTGAAGCCTGGTGAAGAGCCTGGTGAATACACAGACACAGAGGAAGAACAGCACTCTTGCACAGATCGAGCAAAAATTGATTAAAATATTTTCATTGTTGTATAAAGCAATCAAACTTTTTAATGGTTTTAACTGAAATTTTGTTGTTCAAAAGTTATGTTATTTCATCATCACAGACATGAAAACATATAACAGAGTCTAAATGAATCCAGCATCATTTGATTTTGGTCAAGATATATTTTGTATTTATGATAAATTGTAAAGTATAAAGTGAGGTAGTTTGTTGTTTTATTGCTTGATTTTATCCATACAATGGTGTTTCTTTGATTTTTTATTAATTTGCGATTTGAGTTTATCAGTATTGTCATACAAAGAAAGATCCTATAAATAATTTTTTTTGGCTGTATGAATTTCATTTTCACAATTCACTATAAACATCAGAATCATCTATTTTAATTTAGCCTTCAATAAATTGTTCTAATTTAAACTGATGATTCACTAAGTTCATTATAACGTTATATTGCGATTATAAAAACAGTCTTAAAATGTTGATGCATATTGTAAATGTGACTATCACTTGCATCACATTTTGAAATATTTGTCTTATCATTTTCATTATTATAAAATAAAAAAATTTCATTTACTTTTTGTTTTTGTCAAATATAGGCCTAGTAAAGTATTAAAATTTACTCATGACCCAAAGATAAGCAACTTACTCCACATGTGTACATCAATCACAATGTTTCAATTTCTTGAATCGTGGCGTCTGCTACATTTTATAGCTTATGAGTTGATTCCATTTCATTTTTCCTTCCAGCTCGAACACAGCACCCATCTACAATTAGTTTATAGTAAGTTTAGTCATGAGTTTAAGTTCACTGCTATCATATTTTTGCTTAATCACTCACTATTTTCTAAGTGCTTATAACCGGAATAGCATTAGTTCAATCAAATTTCCGATTAATAAAAAACTCGTAATCGTAGCTTACCAAGCGCTTGAAGTGAAATGTCTTCAAACAGCTTGCAATGATGTTTCGAACTAAATTACTCGGCTGCATCTTCGTGTGCAAAAACTGCATGTGGTAGCAACAGTTACGCTTGCGTTTTTCCATTCTAGCTCGTACGTTTTAACGCATTTTGAACTGTTAGGAACACGCATCGCACGTTATTCACGAAGTCTAATTTACTTTTTTTTAAAGTCGCTTATTCCATTTTTTGAAAATATTTGAATTCAAATTTTGCTGAAACGTTTATTATTGTTGTCCACGATCGTTATCGTAATCACAAAACAACGAAAATGAAAGAAAACAACTTACGATGTGACTACATCGTTAGCAAGTTAATGTTCAATCATTAAACTAAAACGTCTGAATATATAGGTACATACACGCATAAAATCAAATATGACTTTGTATATAATAAATCTTTGGCATCTATGTTTTATAAAGATACACATATTTTGAATATATTAATGACATGTTAGGTTACGTTAACTGTAGAAATGTTAATTTGTACGTTTTTTGTGAAAAAATTGATGTTTTCACGTTTCAACGCGCAAGACTGTAGGTAGATTTAGAAGAATAACATTGACATTTACTAAGTGTATGTTGTTCTGTTCCTCTTCATTTCATTAAATTAGATATTCCGAAAATGTGTACGGTACTAGTGCAGGTGAGTGTTTCGAAAACATTAGTCAGCATTGTCGTATCGCAGCGTGAATGAATGAACATTAACAACTTTGTAGCTCACTACATTGCATACATTATTCGAATCGGGACAGATCAACACTCTTCTATTTAATGACTTTATCTCTGTATATTAATAGATGAATAAAAAGTGTACAAAAACATATGCTGAAATTCAATGAATAATTATATTTGAAATCTTGAAATGTTCAGAATTTTTTAAATTACATCGTCAAAATAAGCTGATAATGAAGTATAACTAAGAAAAAACCAATATCAGACAATTTTTGTTAAATGATATAATATAAAATCTCACTGGAAAACAAATGACGATATATATTAAAACAACAATTTTGTTTCTGCCTAATTTCGGAATGTTGTTTGGAATGCTGAAATGCAGATGTTTTATCATTTTAGTGGTGGAAGCCATAACAATTAACAATTCCCATTTTTTCTGTTATGTGCTATAAATAACATATATACGAATTTATGGAATTTACGGTTTACACACACAGACAGACAACACACACACACACACACATGTATATATATATATATATATATATATATATATATATATATATATATATATATATATATATATACATATATGTATAATTTATAATATAATTTTACAGCAAGTATACATTTAAGTTTGATTTAATTTTTCTCCTATCCATTTTGTGCCAGTGAATAGGTGCGCGTCTGCAAACAATTTCATTTGTAGTTAGCAGCATTAAACATAGAAGAAGTTATTAATATTCGTATTACGGAAGTTCATTAATCGTTATTCTTCACCTCAAAATGGAATAACTAGGTAACATTATAATGATGTGTCTCATTCAGATGATGTTGTTACTCATGACGGGTTTGTTGTTGGTACTGAAGGCACTGTACGACTTTGAAGTTAGCGGCGTGGTGGGTGAGAAATTTTTAAATATCATCGTTGTCGACGGAGACGATGTTGTGGCAACTGCACGCTGATGCACTTGCTGAATCATCATCTTTTGCTGCTGTTGCGTCGACGTTGTCGTTGTGGATGCTGTCGTGTGTGGCTTGTCGTCGTACGATGACTGCTGGAAGCAGGAACACTTGCACGGTAAGTAGTGATCGCTGGCGTTGCAGTTTAGTTTATGCTGAAGCTGTTGCTGGCGATGTTGTTGCTGTTGATCGTAGTTGTCGCAACACTGAGAGTCAAAATTAGTACCAACAAATGCGTCGTGGTGCAACATAGGAATGTTTCCATCTGAAACGTTGGCCATCCTGATTGGTTTGCAGTGCATGGTGTAGTCGTATGTCCTGTTCTCGCGGTTCAAAACGTTCTCGGTGTTGTTGTTGTTGTTGAGAATGCTGTTGTTGATGGTCAAATGTTGTTGGTTTTCGATGTAGAATTCGTCAGGTGGCAGCATGTTGGTGTGTTGCTGCTTGCTGCTCGGAGCAATTATTTTACATTTTTAATACTTAATGAATATGTCACTTATATTTCTCAATAAAAATGTTTTAAATTAAACTGAATATAAAGTAAACTATGTGTAAGACGAATATAAATTAAGAAGTTTCATGAACAAACACTCACTTTCTTACAACACGTGCGGCACACACCAACAGTACCCCTCCTATGAAAACTCCCAGAGCCACACCCAGCGACACCACCATCAATATACCTGATACGTTGGTGGTAGATTAAATAATATTGTTATTGTAGAGGCAAAATAATAATGAAAACAAAAATTTATGCTCTAAAATTAAAAGTCTTACAAATACGTATGGAAATGAATGTTTATTACCGCTGCAATGCAACGCTACAATTTGATAACGTGTTAAATCTAAATTTTAGATTATCTAGATCAACTTTCTTGAAGATAATATGCAAATAATAAAACGAAAAATTTCTGAATAAAAACCTAGAAACCCACTGTATGGAAAATAATCGGATGTGAAAACGTTTCCAACCGACCAGCCATCCGTCTGCGAATGCTCAATTTTCTCATTTTTCGATGACGTCATCGAGCAAAGAGAGAAAAAGTTAACTTCCACCAAACTGCTTCCGGTGTGGTTCTTTTTGCTGTGACTTTGATTATTATTGTTGTTGTTGGTACTGGTAAATAATTTGTCGTTATCTCTATCGGTGTTAGCATTTCTAGCCATAGAGTGATGATGTCGAGCTGTCAGCCATCGACTGCCCACACACGTCAGGCGAATCTTGACCGGTTCTTCGGCACAGCTGATCTGCGCTGTGTCCCTCGTTAAACGTTCGTATCTTGAAGTTGAGGAAAGCTGAGTAGCCAGGACATCCGGACATCCAAAAGCTGCGTTAACAAAATTAACGCGGTGTTAATTTAGTAAGAAAATTATTAGGTTGAAAATAGTGATGACAAAGATGCTGTTGTTATATATTCAATATTTTTTAAAATTATGATAACTGAGATATGAAACAAAAATTTTATATGAGTTGTATTATAACACTTTTAATAATTTTTCTTTCAACGGTAGATTACAGACGAATAAAATATAAAAATTGTTGGGATCTTCTCTCTGCTGTTTAACGAACAACTTTTGTGTGGAAAAAGTCACTCAAAATATTCAATTTCGATCTAAAAAATAATTTTTCTTTTAATATCAATTTAAAAAATTTACAAACACAAATATACGTTATAAAAACATGCTTAAGAGTTTGCCATAAATAAAAATAAACAGGAATAAAAATACAATAAAGGTCAACAGAAGGTTGAAGGTCAATTAAAGATTAAATGTCAAATACACTCTTTCAAATTTTAGAGAAATCAACAGCACGCAAAAACATTGTATATGAAAATATACTAAACGACGCATTACACACGAGGCATGTTGTGGGTGAGGATATTTGTGTCATGTTCGAACCCGGTTACTTCGAAAAACCACCAGGCGACCTTAACCACTTGGCCATCATGCCATCCATTCACATGATTTTTCCAAAAACACGTCAAATGTATGGAAAGTATAAAAGTGAATTTTCAGAGTTTGAATGAAACGCTTTTAAAAATTCAATCTAGTTGTCAGAGACCAGGTAATTTTTTATCGAAATCAGGGTAACGAAATTTATTTAAAAAAAAAGTAATTGAAAAAAAAGGAAATTTATAAAGGGAACAAAAGAAATGCAGTTTATTTGGCTTATTTGATTTTAATTTAAAATTAATGTTAATCTCATTTGAAGTGCGATGAACATTAATTAAACTAGATTTATACAAACATTCACACGCTCTTCACTTGAATTAAAAAAACACGTTATAACACAGAAGCGACATACATACTGGCAAATTTGTAGAAAAATTATAGAGATTGTATCTGTGAACTTTTACAAACTTTCATAAGATCATTTGAATTTTATTAAAATCAAGCTAACAATATTTATTCATCAGTTATAGTATAATTTAAAAAAAATGTTTAAGCACAAAATGAAAATTTTTGTAAACAATTATTATTTAACAAACCTCAACCACGATCATACAAACTCATATTAAAAGTTCATTGCAACAAGACCAATCAAATAAAAAGTCGGAGGAAAAACACAGAGACACAAAAAATGTAACTTGCACAAACAGAGAACCACACATCATCACTCACTCACACAGTCACAGACATCCTCATGACATTATATAGTTCTTGTGTACACAATGCAACGAATGATTTTTCATTCTTTATTTTACTGTTGCATGTCGCATTTTCATCGGCTCGTTGTGCAGCGCAGGTAATAACAATAAGATGCATTAAAAACTATATTGCGTGCGCACATTCACAATTGCACATGCATTGATTGCAAGCTACTTGATGTACCCACCCACCTACCTACCTACCTACCTACCTACCTACCTACCTACCTACCTACCTACCTACCTACCTACCTACCTACCTACCTACCTACCTACCTACCTACCTACCTACCTACCTACCTACCTACCTACCTACCTACCTACCTACCTACCTACCTACCTACCTACCTACCTACCTACCTACCTACCTACCTACCTACCTACCTACCTACCTACCTACCTACCTACCTACCTACCTACCTACCTACCTACCTAACTACCTACCTACCTACCTACCTACCTACCTACCTACCTACCTACACTTCAAAACAAACAAGTCGATAAAAACACACGCGCGCTAACTTGGAAAAAAAAGGTTCGTGGAGGCACCAGGCACGCAATGGCACATTTAAAAATACCAACAACTGCAGAGTCAGACATGTGAACGGACGACAAATCAAGCGAAGAAACGAACAAATGATTGACTGAACGGTTGATGGATGAGAGTAATAAAATATTCAATAAGCCAGCTCAATCGATATACACGCATTCACGCAAACATACACTGGCATACTGATATACCTCGTCACGTACACACGCGCGAAAACGTGCACACACTCTGGCTAGCAAGTAGAAACACGTACATATTCACATACACGTACATACACACAAACGCGTACACATGCACAAACACATACATACGTACACACACATGCAAATACACAAACACTTAATCAGACACACTGAATAATAAACTTATTCAAAGAAACTTTTAGGAGCAAATATACCATACTTGCAATGGTAAAACTTAACGCAAAACAAACGCTTGTGTACAAGCACGCACGCACGATTATAGCAACGTTAAATACAAAAATACACACACACAAACAAACATACAGGCAGACTCACACAAAGGAAACAATCATTGCATTCTGTTGCATCAGCTACCTATCAGTCATTCCATTATTTCGTCATTCATATGCACTTGTACGGACAGTCATTTCATGGTATAATACACATAGATGTGAGCTCGTGCTAACACACACACACACACTTTCACGCATGTAAACATACACTGTTTGAAACAATATTTTGTAATAGTAAATATGCCCATGGAAATCTAATCGTGTAAATATTTGTTTGTTATTTGTTTGTTATTTGTGTAATATACTTGCGTGTGTGTTTTTATTTACGCTACTATAAAGACTAAAACTGCACTATTATTGGAGCGTTTTCAAACTGCATACTGCACGCACGGACGCACTCACTCACACACGCACACACATGCCCAAACACATACGTATGTACGTATACATCTAGTGTGCGTGTGTGCGTGCGTGTATGTGTGTGTGTGTGAGTGATTATGTTGAGACATATAGAAACGTCTAGATAGATACTCGTTCTTTTAAGTATTAAAAGCTATTGTTGTATAGTGGCATTGTTTCCACAGTCTTGACGTGTTGATCGACACTCAGGAGTTGAATTTGTTGCCGACAAACTCCGTTGGATGGTGGAAGAGAAATTATTATATGCTGCGTGTGCATGCTGAGTGATTGAATGAATAAATGAATGAATGAAGAAATAAATGGGTAAAAGAACATCTGAATGATTGAACGAACGAAGGAATGAACAAACCAACGAACGAAAGAACGAACGAACGAATGAACAAATGAATGAATGTATGAATGTATGAATGTATGAATGAATGAATGAACGAACGAACAAACAAAAGAACGAACGAACGAACGAACAAATAACAAAACGAGAGAATGAAAACTAATTCTTATTTTTTTGCAGCTTAACGGCGTTCCAACACGATAAAACTAATTCGTTGAATAATATAACAAACTATGACATCACTAACCGCCATAACAAACAATAACAAACCGCAACAAACCATGACCTCACCGTAGCAAGGAACAATAACAATCAACAATAGCTTCCTACCAAGATAGCAAAGCAATTGCAGACAGTATCAACCCAAAAACAAAATGATTCATGGCTCTAAATTCCATAATTATTTTCTATTAGCGAAGCGTTTATCGACAAAATAATAGTATCTATAATGACGGTGAAATGGGATTATACCTGTCCCAGGCTATCTATAACATTTATATTTATTTATTTATCGTGATTCAGTAATGTTTGCTATTTAATTTCTGAATCAAAAATGTTGACGCTGATATAATTGCTTGGGTAGATGATGAAAATCCTAAAGAACAAAATGATGATGCTGGCTATAAAAGAAATTGATTCGGCAGAGGAGATGACATAAAATTTTAAATTTTACAAAAAATTGAGAACAGTTTTTTTTACAAAAAATGTTTCATTACAAAAAGCAACATATCAAACAAGGCTAACTCTTTTTACTTCTTTTGTAACAGAAAACTTAAAAAAAAACATCAATATGGGACTCAACAACTACAACATCTACAACACACACAGCACACGCACAACATACACAACACACACAACACACGCATAATATACGCAACACACACAACATACACAACATCCACAACACACACAACATCCAAAACACACACAACACACACAAAACACACAACATAAACAACACAAACAACATACACAGCATTAATACCATCCACAACAACTCAACAATCCAACTAAAAAAACGTTAACGACAACAAAAGATGAAATATGCAAAAAAAAACAACAATGCCTACAACAACTACTATACCGAAAAATACAAAAACAAGAAAAATACAAGTACAAGAAAAAAAAACCAAAAACTTACAACAATCCCAACGAAAATGACGTCAGAAAAACATCAAAAAGCGGGAAAAGAAAAAACAACTTCATAACGGCAGCGGGTGAAACACTTTACTGACCAATCATAAATCAATATCCTCCCTAACCCCGCAATGCCATATCTCATTGCTTCTCTGACGTGCCAGAATTTATTATTACATTTCACATCGAGGCGAGGCAAATTGAAATATGTATGTACACACACACACGCACACACCAGACACACACATACGCGCACACACACACACGCACACACAGACACACACACACTGACCCAATGAAATTGTGTTTTTATATTTATGTTATTCGGTTATAAACAACACCAAAGTTTGTCGATATTACATTATTAATATTTAGGAGGTAGTATTAGCAACCTCATGAACGTTATTAGAGAAATTTATTTTATGGTTACTGCAGATCAAAAGTTAAAAATTTAAATACTGACATAGACAAAAATTTAAATAGAAATCACTAATGATATCATAAAGAACGTTAATAATAAGATAAACATCTACCTACAACATAAACAACAATCTCAATCTCAACATCAAAGTCGCAGAAACCACGAAGGCTGCATAAACATGGTCCTATCAACAACAACAACAACAACAACAAATACTAAAAGAAATGGGATCACACATGTACAACAACAATATCAACAAATACAACATCACAGTTACTAGCGACACAACAGCAACAACAACAAAACACTACAGAAACAACAACACCACCACCAACAACAACAAAATTAACATAGACAACTTCAGCAACAATAGACACATGAACAACAATTATAAAAAATAAATTGCATGCACCAAAAACAACACAAACAAACTGCAAATACTTTTCTTCTATTATCAATTTTGATAAGATCTCAAAGAGAGGAACCAGACTAATTGAACTACAACAAATTCGTCTCTAGACATCGAGAGAAAATTATTATTACTCGTCATATTTTTATCAATATTATTGTAATTCATGACGTATGCAAAATATCATTATTAACAATTCCATTCAATGTTAACCTTATGAAAATGTTTGCTGTCTCCAAAAAACGCTTGGATAATTGATTATTGTTGGAGAAGCTGTTACACAGTGAGCAGAAAAATGACAAGACTCGCTATCATTATACTAAAAATAGTTTTTATCAAATGCTAATTGTAAACTTTGTGTTGTTACTGTGGGAAAAGTTTTGTTGCAGACAGACGTGTCTCTTCAGTGTGTTAAAAACAAAAAATTTGTAGATGATGTCAGTCGGCTAATAAAATTAAAATTAGAGCAGAAAAATGAAACTTAGGTTTAGCAATTTGGTAAACGTTGATAAGTTTGATTCATTTCAAGTATTAAGATTGATTTAAAGAATCTACGGTTGTTACCAAATTGATGAAAACCGGCTAATGACCAAATTTATTCACCAGTCACGAACCAACATTTGGTTAATGATATTAAAGTCAATAGAATGATTTGAGCTGACAATAACAACACAGTCTTGATTTTTACATGTTAGAAAGATAACTTAACTTAGTGATTGGAAGATTTTTTATATAAACAATAAACATTCAAAAATTATTGTGTTGCGTGAAATTAAACTCACTTTATAAAGTGCGTATAACCGATTTTTGAACGTCAATAGCCATAAAATCTAAAATTTCAACTGAAGCAGCTAGACACTAGTACACATAACAAGACCACAAAATGAACCTCGTCATCATCATCAACAACAACATCGTCATCAACATTATCAACAACATCGTCATCAGCAACAACAAAACTGATGACGAGACAAGATCATCATCAATTCACTGCCACGCTGCTGTACATTTCTCTTTTTATGATGTAGTAACAGACTATTCATGATTGATTAAACATTTTGTACCAATGCATTACGTGTACACTGTACATACCTACCACTATATAAATGGCTCAACGAGACCTACGTACACACAGAGAAACATCTATGACATATCATCCCACATGTGCCTATCTACTTCTACAGTGATTCATATACAGTATACACAACACACACACACAGGGTTGTTAACAACATTACAAAATTCATTCGCTGGCGCTGATGCCTACGTCAAATAGTATTACCGTTACTCAGCTCTGGAAATATTGCCAGAAATGCCGATACAAATATTTCTATTTAAA